CACAAAGATGGAATTGTTTGAAGTAACACATTGTTTTTATCACATTGAGTTCAGACTATGTGAGCGACCTACATTTTGCCCATAGATGCTGACGAAAACAAAAGTGCACAGTATCAATCATTTAGAGAGGGAAACAAGTTCTTATGTCACCGCTGCAACAATCCTCTGACTCAATGTAGCTGTGAACCTTTATTGGACTGTATTATCAGCACAATGAAAGTCTTATCACCGAGCATCCTCGTGTATTCCCCGGCAACATTTCTCGCAGTGTTCACATCTCTTTACTGCACTCGCAGGGATTGAGGACAACAAGGCAACGGAGTGATGTGTGGGAGCACGAGCTGCAAAGCCATCGCGTCTATTTGTAAGCTAAGCCAACAAAAATAAGCATTCAAAAGGGGCCGATTTAGAGTTCACCTGAGGAGAGAATGTTTTCATCACACGGCAACTTCTGGCAGTATGAACAGTTATTGACCTGTATTGTGTCTACCTTATATATCGCTTACAAGAGGATGAGACTTCAAAGAGTACAAAGATGATCTGCGTTAAACTGTGAAAATCAAAACTAGTAACAGAATGATTCAGCGAAGCACACGTGCTACAGGTATGTGCTGGGAAACGGTGAGTCACACGAGGAGCGTTTGATTTGAGCGACGCAGGTAGCTTCCAGGACTAACCGGAGGACATTACTGTGTAAACACGTCTGGCAGACTGCGTCACTTTGCTCATTATAGCTGATGCACTTTGGACCTTTTTTGTTGTCGCTCTCTTCATTTAAACGTGAGCCATGTGTCCAACATCCCATTTCCCTTTCCAACATTTTGAGTGTGTGAATCTAAGTTGTAAAATGTAAAACCCCACAGTGGAATAAATGAGCAGTGCATATCCAGCACACGGTCACACATGTACGTAGATGATGGTCAGCGATGCAAAGTGATGGTGACTCATAAATATCTGAAAGAAAGACTTTCAAAGATTTAAAAAAATCAGGTGTTGTTATTGGATGACTTTTTAAAGCAGGACCTTTGCAGCTACTTGGTGGTTTGGCGCATGACTAAGGCGACTCAGAATAGCATAATCCTGATCAGATGGCAAATATTCAAATTGCTCATTTTTCAAATTGCAATTTTTGTGCACGACAAATTTGGTTTATTACAAAACATAAATCTTTAAGTCCATTATGCTGAGTTGTATTTTAACACAATGCACCAAATAATCCCGGGGTTGTGGATTTAGAGCATGGTTTTAGTGCACAATGCCAACGTTTTTTACGTGTCTTTTTGAAACTACTTGTTAATCCATAAGTGAGAAATTGAAACAACTATTTGTCAGTGATTCATGCGGTCATGCAAGATATCTTCTAACAGCATATCACGTCTACAGTTGCTCCAATATTTCCCTTTCTGTCTTTTAGTTTGACCAGACCCGCGTGTTGTTTAAATCCAAATGAATAATCACACGCGGCGCGTTCAAGGACGCACCGATTAAAAACTAATTCCGTTGGGAAATTAAAACTCCGGAGCCGACGTCTGTTTCATTTCAGCCACTGAAACACAACGCCCAGGCCTGCAAATCTCTTTATTATTCCATCAATATGTCGCTCACACTCTAGCCTAAAAATGAGTTTCAGTGACGCGACATAAATACCTCTTATCCAGACAAATAATCCATTCGACGGATTCCGACGAATGTGAAGAAGTGCGCGCCGCGACCATCTTGATACCCTGATGCGGAGGAGGAGGAAGTGGTGGAGGTGGAGGAGATGTAGGAGGAGGAGTAGGAGGAAGAGGAGGAGAGAGCTGGACCACAAGACTTCATCTGCCTTCACTCATCCCCCGCCGACCGTCCGTGTGCTCACCTGATCCGCACCGACACGAAATGCGTTATGGGAGCTGCAGCCAACGTGGAGCCAGCACACAGCACGATGATGATGCTCGGTTTGTTTCGACGGAGAGAAGAAAGAAAAAATGTGCAGCGACACAGAAATGCGTTGGTTGAAATTGTTCCGACGGTAGAGATGCGTATGTCACTTTTTGAACTGTATGTCCTGCGGGTGAAGTGACGCCGAACAGTGTTTCGGTGGAAATGGCGTTTTCTCTTCCCTTACCACTGTTATGGTTTGATGACTTCCTATAACACGAGGAACTCTTAACCTTCGTCCTCAACTCCAGTTTAAATACATTACATCACATGTCATTTAACTGATGCTTTTAAATAATAAGCGCATTTCAACCAGAAGAACAAGAAACAAACAAGTACATTTTCATCAAATAAGTCAATACAACTTGCTAAGGATAAGAGCCATTAGAAGTACAATTGTGCTACAATTTGTTAGTCTACACAAAGTAAATTTACTTAAATATGTGTACAGCCTTCTCTTATGAGTTAATGAACTGTTGTCTGTAACCAGTACTCAATGATAATTTAACATTCCAACTCTTTCCATTGTTCCGAAGGCAAGGATTTTATTTTATTTCATTTTTTGATAGAGATGGTGATTAGGATGCTTTTGATGCACATTTTTGAAACCAATACTTAACATAATGTATTTCTATTGGCCACTAGATGGTAGAATTCCCTCTATAAAAGAAAATAAGACAAGCATATCAGGGCAGAATTCAACTCCCCAGGAGTATCGTTCAGTCTTGACACTGATTAAAAAGATTGTTTGGGAATGTATCCAAGACCTCGGTCTAACACTGAAATATTTAGAATTCTTCAGCATGAGAAAAATGTCAACTGTATGTTTTTCCAAAATATTTTTGCATCTTCTAGTTCATTTTAAAAGATCAAAAGAGAATTCACCACGCTGAGAGCTACAGCGTGGTGCACATTTTATACATTTGCATTGTAGTAATTAAGATTATTTAGCTAAATTACTGCTCTCATAGTCAAGACCGAACGCATATCTTTGACCTTCCCATTATTCCACTCGCTCTCTCTTGCAACAGTGAGGATGTAAGACTGGGCTCAGGCCGGGGCATGCACAACCCAAAATACACATTCCTGTAATGCTGCATACCAACAACTTAGAGCTGCATTCAACCAACACATAACAATGTGTGAAGATAAAAAAAAACCTGTAGAATTGCCATTCATACTGAAAAGCACCCAACTGAGAGCGCCAATATTTAAACATGACACCCCTTCGGGTTGTTTGGGTTGAGTTTGAGACGTTGTTTCAAAGGTGAGACGGCCACTGTTGGCTCTTCACCTGCTCGCGTTTTCATTTGGTTTGACTTCCTCGTTGGATGTTGTCTGACGGGTTGCTATAGGGACCAGTGGCTTGGCTTGCCGTTTTACCCCCCGGGAGAAAGTCCACTCACTGTGTATAAATGTCTTTTTTTTTCAGAATCACAGTTGCTAGGAGATGATCCAGCGAGCACGTTGACACATGCGGCCCTCATGTGCACTCGCGGCATTATTTCAGAGTCTGATGAACTTATCTGTTACCGCTGCTGTGTACGTCTCTCAAGGATAATATAGTGAATGTTTGGGTTCAAAGTGTTTTTTCTAGTTGGATAAAAATGTTGAGATATCAAGTAGACATGAAATTTATTTGAAAGAGCAACAAGTCCAAATTCCTGAGTGAAAAACTTGACACTGTTTAGACTTTTCACTCACAGCTGACATCGCCGGAGTCAAATGTCATTGAATTTACGTAAAAAACACATTAGAAAGACTTCATGTACTGTACATTGTTAACAAGCAGTCACTTACTTGAATTCTGTCCATGTGTGGGGATACGGAGCTATGTATAACCCTCATCTATCAGATGACTTTCAAATGGAATGTGAGGGCAGATGACTCAAAGGGAAAGGCCTTGTGACCGGATTTTTTCCAAGAAAAATCTCACTGAATGTTAAAATAACTGAATTTACAAGTTTAAAGTAATGCGCAGAAATAGACAAAAACATAAAGCATGTCCATAATTGTCTTGGTTATTTTATTAATACTAAAATTTGCTAACTTAATTATTTAGGGAAAAGGCGATGTTCCATGAAAGAGAAATCTCAAAAATGTGGATAGGTTCAATATTTAATGTTTAAAGTAATAAAAAATGTAAATGGGATTACACTTTAGGCAACAGAAAAAATTTCTCATGTCTTCGAAATAGATCACCATCTGTTTAGGCCTCTTGCTGCAGTCTGGTTCATATATTTATCAATAATTACACTGCTATTTGCATTTTGTTACATAACTCTCCTTGTGTGTACTAACAAGTTTAGATTAAGAATGACGATTTAACAAATGTTAAATACATTAAATATGTCAAAATGTATTTGAAAAATGTTATAAGGATAACCTGGTGAATGTGTGTGTGTGAAGCGGAGAACAGAAGTTCAGCCGTCACTGATTTAATCATTTTCACCAGCGCGTCTCCGACTATGAGTGTAAAATGTCAAAATATTCTCAGTGGAAAACGTTTATTAAACGGATAACCAAAACCCATTGACCTGGGGCCTCCGAGGGCTGGGGGCATTGAGGCAGTGGGCTGCCAAGCCCATTTTGACAATCTGGCCCAGCTCAAGTCTATTTCCCATACATTGTAGGCCTAAGTAGGGTTACACCATCTGGAAACTATTGTTTCCAAAGAGAATCCTAAGGGGCTACTCCAGAAAGTTATTTCTTTCACCTACATTCAATTGTAAGACTCAACTAAATGAGGCTACAAATCATGGATCTTCTTCATCGTCCCACTCTTATCTGCCATCCCTTTACCCCTCCAGTTTAGTTCAACTTTTATTGTTGTCTAAAGAGGTAGAAACTGAATGTCAAGGGTAAAATCGTTGTTTGTGAGGTCTACATGTGGACTGTTGCCCCTGCAGAGGTCTAGGTGAGCTCAAACACACAGCACGCTCTTTCCCACGCCTTTCTCCTCCAACTCCTCGTGTCTCTGTGGGGAAAGCGGGGAGCGGTGGGTCGGTGGTGGGTTACAGTCCTGGAATGTGTGCGCGTCCCCGCCGTCCCTCTGTTCTCGTCGGCCGCGGCGCGCACACGAGACGCGCGCGCCGCGCGACAGGTCTGGAAGTGCGAGGAGGAGGACGCAGGGAATAGAGAAAAAAAAACCCCTGCTGGAGCGGAGAGTGATGGCGGTGAGCAGGAAGAAAGGGACTAGTTTGAGACCGTAATACGCGCGGGACCGCCGCGGGCCACCTTTCGGCGCCGAACGCGATGAAGCCAGCCGGGGCCGGTGAGAGCTTTTCCAAGTTGTTCACCTTTGTTGTTGCGCGGGGAGGCCGGAGTTTCACGTTTCCAACGGCTCGGGCTCGAAATGCCCCCAATGAATTGTTGCGACCGGGGCGCCTGTTCGCGGCGGTTTGCTCCGCTACTTTTAAACTTTGTTTCGCCTTTTTTTCCCCTCCTTTCCTCACATTAACTGCCGTGTAACCGACGCGTTGCTGACGTCGTCGGCCCGGTTGAATCGAGCGCTGTTCGCTTCAAGTTGTCCGCCGGTCGGTCGAAGTTAACTTTTCGACCCCGGAGCCTTCTGATGTGGCGCTACGGTAACGCGTGTGCGTGACGTCACGCGCGGTTACCGTCACATTCTGACTTTCCGCTCCGCGACTCAGTGCGACTTCACGCCGTTCTCATTTGCATAAATAAAGATATGCGCCTGTTTTGACTTGTGTTGAATGCGGGCGTCAGGCAGGGTGAGATGATAGTGGTTGTGTTACCGTGTTCTATTTACTATTCTAATAACGGCGGCCATTCCTCTCTTTAGATGCCTTCGCTGAGAGTCTGTAGCTAAAGACGGCAACTCCGAAGAAGCTCCGACCGGACCGATGGCGCCACCTTCGTAGAGTGTAGTGATAATAGTTCACCAACAAAACAGCATCAGTCTCTCCTAAAGCCGGATTTTTCTATTGGGGCCGCAGTCACAAGAAGCAAAGTAAAATGATCAGAGCAGAAAACAAAGGAGGTGAGAGGACCCTGAGGAGCGCGTCCCCTCACAGAAATGCATACAAGTCTGACTTCCACGCCATCAAGTGCACTTTTGATGGGTCGAAGTCCGAGAGCGATCCCAAAACGTACACAAATGGCTCGAGCGAGACCCGGGAGGACTCGAGGGGGAGGCCCTTTGGGACCAGGGTGAACAAGATAAAGAACATATTCCTACAGATGGACGGTCAACAACAGGAGTGCCAAGAGGGCAAAGTGACCCCGAAGCCCGATGTGTCACCTGCCTCCCCGACGAAGCTGCAGTTTCCAGTCAACACTCACAGAGTTAGCCTCAACAGTGCCGCAAGCCCAGAATCACAAAACGTAGATAAAACGCCCAAGGGGGAAGATGTTGAGATTGACAAAGTGGCCTTGGCAGAAAAGTTTTCTGTGACCAGAAAACTCTTTGAAAGGGGCATCAAAGAGCCGCCTGCAGCCGAAAAACAGTCTCCAGGCAGAGGAGTGACCCGTTTGTCCCTCGGAAGTTCCTCTGATGAGGGGAAATGCACAAGGAGAGCATCGGGCTCCTCGGAGACCGCTGTCAAATCAGAGCAAACTCCTAAATCAACAGTTAAATGTCAACCGGATGAGAAGGCCGATAGTGAGAAAAAGAATGCGTCCAGAGGGTCATTGAATGCAGGACCCATGTCCAAAAGGTTGGATAATTATGTGGCAGAGAATGACCTCGAAGACAACAACAACGCCGCTGCTGCAAAGGGAAGAGTGGCGTCCGCAAAACAACACAGCCCCACCGAAGAAATATCTGTCTCTCCAACAAAGGACGGCTTCCACAAATCTACTTCTAAAGAAGCCACCAACTCTACGCCTGCGACTGACGCCGCCAACAAGAACACGGCCCAGACCGCTGGTGTCTCCAACAGACAGACGTCCGTTGTCAAAGCAACCATCGCAGTTCCCAATGCGGCAAACAAATCTAATACTCCAACTACAGAGGTCGCCCTCAAACCCCTGTCACCGGAGAAACCGAGCCCAGTTAGCCATGGCTACAAACACTCATCATCCAGTGTTGGTTTTGGTAGGACATCTTTTGGGGGGGACGAAGCCAATCCACATAGTCCGCCCCCAAGGGACGCGAAGCAGCCTCCTCCGTCAGCCGGCGGATTTCAGAACACCAACAGGGCTAAATACCCTGAAAAGTCCAGGAGTCCTACAGCGGACAAGCCGTCCAGCCAGACCTCCTCACTGGACTCCAGGGGGGTGGGCGTGGTGCGGGCAGAACTGGTGGTGGTTCAGAACGAGTCCTCTGAGAGTGAGGAAAACGAGGACGAGAACACGGACGATAATGTGTTTGAGGAACGGAAGGTGCAAAGCCCCAAAGATGACCTAATGACAAACCTGAAAAGGACCCCTGCGACAGAAAAAACAACTAGTGTCCCGGCTCATCATGTCTTTGCACGAGATGTTGCAAAAGAGACGCAAAGGACAGCGGAGACCATGGTTGATGGTGGAGTTCTAAAGGACAAAGAGCGACTCGGGTTGAAAAAGGAAGACATTTCAGCTGGGAATCGATATGGGGACGATTACCCTGAGGAGGAAGATGAGGTCGCAGAGGAGGAGAGTGAGCTGGAGGAGCATATCGTCCTGGATAGAGGCTCACCAGTGGTGTACGGTATTGAGAATGCAGCATTTGTGGATGACAGAGATGTAGACCAGATCCTCAGGGAAGAGGAGGAGGACGATGATGAAGATGAAGAAGATGGTGAAGAGGAGGAAGATCGAACTTATCGGGATTATGACGAATGTTACGAGACCACCGGTCTGTCGGATGAGGAGGAGCCTCTCCCCAGGAGGAAGATCAAGTTCTCCACGGAGCCCATTCAGGTTAGTACGACGTGTTGTGTTGTTTACATCCGAGCTGTTGAAAACACATCGCGCCGCACCGTCATTATAAACCAGCCGCAGTAATGATCGGCTTGACCTAGGTGTGCCCCGCAGACGCAAAGGCCAATTAGCTGAGGCCGGGAACGAGCGCTTGTTGGGCAAGTTGACGTCACAGCTGCCGCATTGTATCATCATCCCAGTTTGAGAAAATGAAGGCTGGGGTTGATTTTTAAATGGTTTTAAAAACATGGCTGCCTGAGTGAGTCACTCATTTTTACTCATTTAGATTATTTCCCCTGTGTTGATGAATCATTAGGGACTTTTCACTTCTATCCAACACAGAAATGAGGAATTCAGGGATGGATTTGTATGATAGAAATGTATTTTTTGAAAAGCAGAAAAGGACATGCTGTCTGTTTCTTTTTCTGTTAAACGACTTATGTTAGAATTCAGTAGGACATTTGTCTTCATCGATGAAATGCTACAAATGGGTTTGTAGAGTTATATGACTGATGGTGCTTTGACTGTTGCTCTGGATGTTCCAAATGGTTTTTAAGTTGTCAAGGGATGTGGTTGAAGTGGAGGTAATATTTTCCATCACACATATTCCACACTCAACCAAATCCAAACAACATTTTGCTAAGGCAGGGAAAAACAAATTCCACATAACTTGTGGCCAGCTCAGTGTTGATCCAGGCCTTAAAATGCACTGTTATCTCCGGGTGTGCACCCCCCCACCCATTCCATCCCATCCCATTCCATATACCCACGCTGGGGATCCTGGGAGAGGGGACCAGAAGCTGACCTTAGATTGGACACAAACAACAGTGTGCCTATTCTGTCCAGCCATGACATAAATAAACACAACAACATTACAACAATATGGTGGACTGTCCCATACTGCTCTTAAAATCATGCAAGGGAGACTTGCAAAACTTTTAACAATTAATTGTAGAATTATATGAACTAATAGCAGGTAACAAGTTCTCATTAAATAGTACATACTAATGTAAATATGTATGTTGAAGGGGTTCAGACAGCTTTTGACCCCAGGCCATATTCTACTCACTAAGTAGCTGTGGGACCAACTACATGATCTCCAGGGGAAAGTAAAGAATACAAAAGTATGAAACAACAAATCAACAAGTGTTGGGTGAAGATAAGTAGGAGGCCCAAAAAAAGTCTGTTTCAAATTAATTAGATGAGATTTATGGAATTGCACGCACGACTGCGTGCAATTGACAGGCCGGTAAGTGATTTGTCAAAACAATGTCAGGGACTTGTATTAAAGACCATGGGGAGAAGGCTACGTGGAATGCACGTTAGCCAATTAAGTCACAGGAATGTCCCTCAGCCACAACCGTTTCTACCTGTGGCCCGGCCAACAAAGCCCCCCCGCCAGCACCGCATCGTTCTCAACAGTCTGATTGGCACAGCCGGCGCCGGCATCCGGCGCTCTTGAGTCGCAGCTAATAAGGAGAGAGGATATGCTTTTGTGCCTCTTGCTCCTGACGGGATTAGGTCTTCTCCACAGAGGAGGTGCTTGGTGTGGAAGAAGGGTCCTCCTTTTGAAGTAAAGGAGTCGTTGAGTTTGAGCTTCCCAAAAGCAGTCAGGATTAGTGCGCATGTCCTCAATAAGTCCTCACAGTGAAAGTCCTCAGTCGAGCTATTTCTCCCTTTCATGGTTGCTAAACGAATGGATGCGTTTAGCACGTAATGGCTTTTGTGCGTAAAAAACCCCCAGAATGTGTACTGTACTGCAGGGCGCCGTCAAAAAGGCCCCGCAACTCATTTTAGACGTTATGTTTTGTGATAAGATCATTTTGGCACATTTTGTAACACACTGCTGTGTCAGTACAGAAGTACCCTGTGGCTCTATGAGCAGTATCAATATTGCACTACGGCAGATACTTTGTCATTGAGCCGTTAGTTTCTGTAACTGCAAATAAAAACCACACTCGGTGTGTCGAGACCATACCGATCCAATTTTAAATCTTTTTACAAGCAGTTTACAGTTTTGCATCTCCTCTGATTTACTTTTACTCTTTCTCTGAACCCAAGAGTGGTTGAATGATTAATGCCTTTGACTGTAGGCGTGTTATCTGCTCAGTCATCTTTTAGTAGAGTATTTATGTGGGTTGCTAGGGATGTTGTCTTGGGTTTTGTGTCGGCCAATGTCGCATGCGGTGGTATTTAGAACAAGAGTTCAGAACCAGTTCACCACCGGTGAAAAGAAAAATGTCCGAAATTTCGAATCCGCACCTGCTTCTTTGCCCCGCCCTCGCCCAGCCAAAGAATGTACCACCAGGAGTTTTTGGTCAAGAGAACACACCGTGCCTCCTTAAACACACACGCCGCAGTAAAATATTCCAATAGTTAATTCTAACTGAAAGAAACACATTTTTTGGTTTGCATCCTTTTGGGTTTCGTTTGGCACATTGCCCTTACAGTTTACAGGCAATGGGCATGACCTGATCAGTGGAGGAAGTGCTGACCCAGTTTGTTAGTCCTGTAAGTCCTGTGTTCCACTCCACCCGATGTTACTGTCTGGGTGACTCAAAAATATACTTCACTTTCATAACGGAAAGCTAATTATTACGTTATTAAAAGCTTTTGAAGCAATTCATAACTTCCTGGATTTTTTTCTTTTTGTTTTGTCAACATAACTAATAAAAATCTATTTTTGGCAGTTGTGGATTGATTATGAATCATGGAGGCTACAATTCACAATCCTTATCAAAGCCAACACCCCCCTCTGCTATTTTTTTTACATAAGCTGTAAAGTTCAGCTTAAATTACTGCGTGACAGAACCTTCTGTCGGCGTCTGACGTCACCTGTGAACATCAAAAGGACCTCCACATTTGGACTCTGGCCCCTGTAACCAACCCATCCCACAGTGTTATGCTTTCCATTTCCTATCTGAGATAGGCCTTCTGCTGACCAGAGGAATGTGTCCCACGAGGCTCCGCCCACATCCACGCAGCAGACAGGCCCTCGCCTTGTGGGGTCTGGGTTCCCCGGGGCCACCTGGACGATCGGGTGACTCTGGGACAGAACCGGGCGGAATACTAATGCAGTCCGCTCAATGCTGTCCATTAAACAGCTCGGCGCGGGACAAGTGTGGCGCTGATTGTGATTGCCTGACGCGCTTTCACTATGTGATTGCAGACGACGTGGGTTTTTCATTAGCAGGAATTGTGTGTCTTTACGTTTTCAGCAAACCGCTCAGGACAAGAATAGCTTTTGTGTTCCGTTTGAACACAAACCCGTTTCACCGGTTTTTGTTTGCACTCCTTTTGGAAACGTGGTCCCATTATCGCACTCTGCTCCTGTCTGACTCCACCTCTTCCTGCTGGAGGTCCTACACCGACCGCCACACCTGAAACACAAATATTAATAATATCTGACAGGCAGTCATTGAGAAGTTAAGTGTTGATATTTAAAAGGGGACACATACCGAAGTACTACATTTATTCTATTTCCTGGTTTGTTTACACGGCATCTAAAAACCGGGTCACGTGCCTTCTTCCCCTGGTGATCTGCGGCGGGCCGCGACCACAGCCCGCCCTCACTGCGTGTTTGGGTTTATTGTCATTCTGTGGGCCTGATTACATAATGAGCTCCCCCATCATAAACTGGTCAGCCCCCGGTTTTTGCACAGGCGAGAAACTTCTATGGTTTACTCTCCCTCGCAGCTGCTGACTCATTTCCCACACTGGTGCTCTGTTGTGGGGAGAGGAATGAGGGGAACATGGAAAGGATTTTAAGTTTGGGTGTGGGCATGTGAGCACCATCAGAGGACAGTTGTCGAAAGATGGACAAAAGGCGTGTGGACACTGCTGGGAGTGGGTGTCTCTATATAAATAATCTATATAGAGACACGGACCCTTTGTTTAACGTGGCTTCTTTTAGGCAAAGTGACCTCCGTCCATACGAGTGTCTCAGCACTGCTTGTGTCTCGCTAACCAAGGCTGATGTTTGGCTTCTCGCAGAGGGTTGACATAACATGGAGGCCAAGTCGGCGAACCAGGGGGGGGTCTGCTCTACTGTTTCTGTCCGTCCATGCGACAATGCGGCCTAAGAGTCAGCGTTTTCTAACATCTCCATTTAAGGGGCTCTAAAGCCCCACAGAAGTTTGGATGCTCGGCATAAACGTAAAGCAAGTATTTATTTGATCAAAATAGAACTCGGCCTCAGACTTGTAAAGAGATTTTAGTTTCAAACAGTCGTTGAGTGACTAGATTTAAAAAAAAGAAGAGCACATTGTTTGAGAAGGGGCCCGTGAAACCATGCCAACGGGGAAGTCAGGCGTTGGAGTTGAGGAGAAGAGGCCGATCCGACTGCTGTCGCCTCATGCCGGGGCCGAGGATGCAGAGCGGCTTCCTGTATTCTATTAGCCTACATTTTTAACGCTTAATTAAGGTCTCCGAAGTGGAAACTAAAGAAGCGTCTTTCATCTTTAATGAAATTTATGTCTGCTCTTGTTTTTAACGAACTGAATGAGACGTTCGGCTCTGTGGGTCTTATTTATAGAGGCCCTTTCAAGCTTGTTGTTCAGAGACGTGCAAAATGAGAAGAACAAAAATGTATTGAAAACCTTGTTGGTTATTTATAAAGTTTTCAGTGCTATTTGGTGCTTTGTGTTTATATAATAAAGATGTACATCTCTTCTATAAACTTTTGGCAGTGAGCGTAAAAAGGAAGGAGGACTCAGACGAGGGCTCCCTCGGGTAGATGGAGGGTCGAGGCCCCATGAATAGCATTCCTGTCTGCACAGCGCTGCAGTAGTGTGCGTGATCCACAAGTTTCTAATCTTTTTTGGGGTTGGTTCTGGGAGGCTGCGAAGGAGAGGTACCCGCAAGTGTACCAAGTCATGTATGTACTGATTTGTGTGTGTGTGTGTGTGTGTTTCTTAATCTGTACACACACATGTAACACGCCCTGTGCTGTAGAGCAAACTAGGCTCTAAATATCATGCTTAGGTCATTTAACTGCAAAATCTCCAATTATTATCAGAAATGATGGAATCACATGAATGTGTGGTTGTTATGGTATATTGAGTATTCATTCAGGGACCGGCACTCATACCATTTGGTTCTGAACGTGTGTTTCAAGACCAGGAAAAGATCCAACGCTGTATCCCAAATTCAAATCTAAGGTTTCAATAATAATAATACATTTTATTTATAACGCAGCAGATCTCAGAGTGCGACATAGATGGTAAAACATATTTAAATATAAAGTAAAAGCTAGTAAAAAACATAGGGGAAGAAAATACGTAAGATAGAGTAGAAAACGCCTCCTTGAATAAAAAGGTTTTCAGGCCAGTTGTGAAAGAGTCCAGTGACCGTACTGCCCTCAGGTGGTCAGGGAGACGGTTCCACGTGCACGGCGCTGCCATGGGGCGCAGCTCGGTGTAGGGGGCCCGGAGGAGCGAGCTGCTTGCAGATCTGAGGGTGCGGGTGGAGGTTTGGGGAGTGAGTAGTTCTTGCAGATAGGGAGGTGCATGTCCATTTATGCATTCGTGAGTGAGTAGTAGAATGTTGTAGTCAATCCGGAAAGAGACAGGGAGCCAGTGTAGTGAGTGTGGGATGGGTGACAGATGTTCATAACACCCATTCCACACCTGTATGCCGTATACACACTGCTAATGCTTTAAAAATGTTATGCTTTTTTAATATGTATATATTTTTAGGTCATTCATGACATTCAATAGAACAGAAAGAAGCCTGGCAAGAGTTCAAGAAGAAAACTACTGTAGTCTTGTATTTTATTCATATTCTACCTGCGGCTCATGTTTTTCCAAGATGTCAAACTTTCCTCTGTTTTATTTCCAGATGGAAACTTCTGTGTGTTAGTAAGCCTGCTGTTCTCACATGCACAGAGGAGCCATATTCTCAGTCAGCAGCACCTGGCCACTGTCTCATCATACCCCCACCCAAATTAAGATTAATGTTGATCAAGTATGGGTAATGGTACGGACCCACTGTTGGGTGCATCCCTATTATCAGGCATTAGCCCCTAATGGAGTCTGCCAAATCCTAATTTACTTTTCATCAACAATGTCTAAACTAGTCTCACTCTCTGGTGCTTTTCTCATTGTTCTGTTGGGATTGTGACATTATTTTGATAAGGAGTATTTATTTAGATAGATATTAAGATATGCTGGTCTTCTTAGTCCCAATTTAACGTTGTGTCCCATTCATTACTTTCGCCCATTACTAAATTTCAGGATTTCAATACAAATGAAGGAAAGCTGAGCAGATGAATCGTTGTTTCGAGTGGATTGAGAATGAAACGTGTGTTTGGTATCATAGCTTTTGAAGGTAAATAGTGCTGTATGTAATATCAATACAGGCTGGTGTTGAGTACTCGCTCATCCGATTGACAGACGCTGACGGGATTCGTTTTTTCGTTGTGACGTTCTTTCGTGTATGTCTTTTGACTGTGCTGCTGGCCACACTTGTCGCCTCTGAACATTGATCGTTGCTACATCTATTGCTCAGCGCTGCCCAGCTGTGCCCTACTTTCCACGCTGTACTGTGTCATGAGCTTTTATAAATCCAAACAGCCTCAGGGACACATCCGGGGATTTGGGAGGGCTGCCTGCAAAGTTCACAGCGTCTTAAAACTGTTGAAAGAGAGAAAGGGTTCAGTGTTTATACATCTGATGAAAAGATGTGAATCTTATAGCATTTTTTATTAAAAATGCAAAACATTATTCACTAGAAAACGTTTAGGGAACAGAAGGTCATAATCGCTGTCAGACACCCTGGTGAGATGACCAAACGTGAAAGAATGAATTCTATTTCCCGTAGTCCAAATACGGACTGTGCTCTCCCTTAGCAGCTGTTACGGTGTGCTTCAGTAGTGCACCGGCACTTTAATGGTCCGCGTAACGGTCCACCGTATGAGTGTAATCCTTCTCCACCACGCACGTTAACTGCAGGATGAATTGGAACTCAAAAGCGGCCGCTATAAGCGTACGTCGACGCCGATGCCGTAGATAACCCTCACCGTGAACCTGTCCTGGTCTACTGAAGCTGTGCGCTTGACTTTTTCAACGTCACAGGTGTTCAGTACCTTCTCCAATGAGGATTATGATCGGCGCAATGATGATGTAGATCCAGTCGCAGCCTCGGCAGAGTACGAGCTGGAGAAGAGGGTGGAGAAGATGGACGTGTTCCCTGTTGAGATTGAGAAAGGTGAGTTTTTCAAGCAACACTCAAGGTACAAACAACTTTGTGACCAGCAACACGTGAGATTAAATTGTATAATCTACAACCCACACAGTTACTCATCTTAACTTGTATTATATATTTAGTGTTCCGGACATAAACACGTGGATTTGAGCCTTTTTCGCAAGCACCTTTTAAAAATCTTCATGATTGTATCGCATTCAGGAGAAAATGGACTGGGCATCAGTATCATTGGAATGGGAGTGGGAGCTGATCAGGGACTGGAGAAGCTGGGAATCTTTGTGAAAACCATCACCGAGGGCGGGGCAGCCGAGAACGATGGGCGGTGAGTTGAAGCACTGGTGGTGGTTTGTATGTATTGTGTACAGTACAAACATCGTATACACTCACTGCACACTGTATTTTTGATATCGCACTCTAGGAATTACTCATTCCCCAAAGTCCCCAGTTACGCACAAGGCACAAAGCCATATTTATTTATAACCACAAGAAAGCTAAAGAGAAAAGTTGCGACTTCCGCTTCTCGGCTGCATGTTTTGATTTGTCATATCACCAGCTGCATGTCTTTTTTCATCTTCACTAAAATGCCGCATAACTGTTGTGTGGGAATGCTTGGAAAACCTCTTCCCATCTGTGTCTCTAGCATACAGGTGAATGACCAGATCGTGGAGGTGGATGGTACCAGTCTGGTGGGCGTCACCCAACTGTTCGCTGCAACCGTCCTGAAGAACACCAAAGGCACAGTGAGGTCAGCGCAAAGCCTAAAAGCAACCTTATTGAAAATGTCTCGTTGATAACCGCATTGAGCCACTGTTATCACGATTAGCAAAACACGTGGTTAACGTGGAGTCTTTTTTTATCTCTTGAGAGTCCAAAGGCCGTAAATGTTTATGTGTAAGTGAAATGGGAAGCACAAAGCGCTAATGATTGTTGAATGTTTGAAATGAAACACAGGGTCACAACTAAATTGCATTTCCAAATTTGAATTTCCCTGTTTGCATGTGAGACAAGACAGGGGTTATTCACAGCCAACATGTAAAATATTCAATTTCATGGCACGCTAACGCAACACATTCTATGAAACAGGTTCTCGATTGGACGGGAACAGCCAGGCACTCAAAGCGAGGTCGCCCGCCTCATAACTGAGACATTAGAGCAGGAGAAGAACCAGCTGCAACAACATCTGGATGACCACTATGAACACTCTACAGAGGAGGTGAGTTAGCTGGTGGGAGGGCCTGCCCACTGCTCCGCCATTGTTCCCAATCGAAGTCATTGTATCCCAAAAAACGAAAGGCTTCTGAAGCAGGTAAAAACATATGCAAACTGAGCTAGTGGAAAAAAACACCATGTTGGCCGTCGCCCTCTAGCCACACCCACTCCAAAACCACCCAGCTCCACCAGGAAATGGAAAAAGCTGGCTGCAGATCATTCACGTGACGCCATTCTGCTGTGTTGGAAGTTGCATTCGGCCTCTGCCTGTCTGGCAGAGTTGTGAAATATTTGTTTTGTGATCTTTATGTAGCCAATCTCCTGTTTTTACTAAAGAGATTATATGAGTGAGGGAATGTTGCATAACTTTCCGTGGCACTGGAAACCCTTTCCAAGTGATCTGGGGTTTATGCAAAGTGTGTGTAGATGTGCTTAGTCTTGGTATCCTGGGAGGTACATTGTTTGTGTTTAGGCGTTGGATGCTGCAGACGCCCCACAAAGCCCCCATGAGGCAACGCTCCGATGTTTGGTCATGATGAATCGATAACAGTGTTGCCCTCCCGACTGTGGTGAACTGTGGAGTGTTGTTGCCACACGCTGAGCGCGTTCATGGCCACGCAGGGTGTGTCAATGTTTGCAGTGCGTGATGCCATGTGTGATGTCATGTGTCAGGAGGAGTGTCAGGAAGAGCGCTACGAGGAGGAGGAAGAGGAGGATGAAGAGGAGGAGGAGGGGGTGGATGAGAGGATTTTGTGCTCCAGTTTCTCCGCTGGGCAGAACGTGGAGCTGTACGAGCTGCCCGACACAGAGGCGCTGTTCATGCCGACCAACATGGACGGCTCTCAGATGGTCTTCAAGTTCAAAGAGGTATCCCCCTCGCCATTACATTCGTTCTATTGTGCTGTAAAATGTTTATCAAAGGTTCAGTGTTCTGTAACGGCAGCCAAAGATTAACATCTTTTATTTTCCTTTTTTCTGTTCCTTAGCTGCAGCTCAAACACAGCACTGCTGCAGCAGAAATAAATCAACTGAAGGAAAAGGTACGGCAAAGATGAAGATTTTCTTTTTCCTTTATAACATTCAAGATATTCACATAACATACAAGAAAAATAAATGTATGATATACGAAATACAAATTCCACATACAGTGATATAAAAAACATAACAGACTTTTCTTTCTTCCATCAGTAAGTGTACCGTACATATATTGGACCTGTTGTGGTTTCATCGCAGCCTTTTTGCCTCTGAACTTTGAACTATTATGTACCTCCAGTGAGGGATGATTAATCCTAAAATACTTACTGAAAATGAGTTGAGAGCAACACGTGTCACCAATGTCTGTGCAGCTACGTGCATCTGAGGAGCATCGATCGCTGTGGGAAGCGAGGGAGTCTGCACTGGAGCAAAAGATCGAGGATAGCAACGACAAAATGCTCAAGTTGGAGAGTTACTGGCTGGAAGCTCAGGGTCTGTGTAGGACTGTGAATGAGCAACTCGCCGAGACTCAGAGCCAGCATGAGACGCTGGACAAGAAGTACAACAAGGCCAAGAAACTGCTCAAGGACTACCAGCAGAAGTAAGTTGGTCTCGGGTTACCAAATGCTTTACAGCTGGGAGGGCTCAGCGTTGTTTAACGAAGGAATATGATCCGATTTCACATTTTTGAATTTAGTGGTGTAGTCAGGGCCACATTAATTAGAACGCGTTTACGAGCTGAAGGACTGAAGGGAAACTACATTTCTATGTGTCCCCCCTCAGAGAAATAGACTTTGTGAAGAAAGAGGAGGAGCTGAGAAAGATTCTAGATGAAAAAGACAAGTGGTATAAGCAGCAGCTGGAGAGCTTGCAGAACAGGGTAAGACCACGGCCTGAAGAATACACAGAACACACACCACAGCAGACCTGCTGGAGACACCGAAATGAGCCCGAGCGTCCTCTGATCCACAGATTGCTGTGCTGGAGTCCAGAGGGGCCTCGAACGAGGAGCGTCAGAACGGTCACATCCCGACAGCAGGCGAGAGATCAACCGGCCGAGACCCGGCCGCCAACGCGCAGTCTGTGGACTCGCCACTCGGTACAAAGAATGAAATGATATTGAAATGTGGGATCCGTCAAACATTTACAAGCCCACATCATAAACTCCGGTGACCCTGGTAAATGATTTAATACTGTGCACACTGTCCTGTGACTTGCTGGGTACGTTTGTTGGTTTTCTTCCCGCGTAGAAGAAGAAGACTGGAACGAGTTGGTTCCTGAGACCGAGCGCCTGGACACCAGTGCTCACAAAGCAAAAGGCCTGCTGGCGCAGAGGGCCAAGCGTCAGCCTCCATCCCGGAACAAACTGAAGGACCACCTGACGCTGGCCACAGGTCACACTCAGGTCAGCCAGGAACATCAATTAGTGACGCGTTGCTGAGATGAGGGAGCATTTGATTGGACCAAGAGACCGAGCGGTCAAGCCCCCCGAGGCCAAGGTTGGCCTTGTGATTGTGAGCTGAACAATAACATTGCAGTGATGGTGGCAGACAACTTTACTGCCGCTTTTTTCTACGACTGATTAGTTTTCTTGCCACTTCAAAGCAAGAACAGCTCAGTGTTGTACTCTTGAGATGGCCTTAAGATGCTGAGAGCTGCCCTAAAACACAAGAGGAAACACCCCCGGGTGGGTTTTTGATGGAACAAAATAATAACAAACCTTTGTTAAGAACATGCGTGTGCATGACTCAGCCAATCAGCACTGAGGAGCAGAGCTTTCTGTTACATAACAAGCCTGTATCCCTTTCTCCTTGCATGGTCCTCATAAATAATTAAATTTTTCCCTACAGGAAACCAAAGAAGAGGAAGAGCAGGAATCTCCCCAGAGGAGGAGCTCCATCCAGGAGAGCCTGTGTCTTCCGGTGCCCGTCTGCTACCCTGGGAATGGACAAAAAGAGGATGCGGGGGAGACCAGAGATGGATCCGGGAGTAAATCAGAGCTCTCCAGCATCCAGTCTCTGTCCCCATCACAGGGAGACGGTATTGAAAGCAGCGGAAGTGTCTCTTTGTCCAGTCCAAAAGACACCTCGTCCCCACATTCCCCCTCTGGATTAATGCACAATTTCAAGAAGACAGAGTCAAAAGGGAAGAGCAAAGAGCTCAAAGGTATGCCAGTAGAGCGAAACGGCTACGACAGCAGCGCGCGGTCTGTACTTTGTTGCTGAGCCCTTTGTTTCATTGCAGAGGAGCCAAATGAGGCCTCATCAGCTGGAAAACCGAAAAGAAGATTTCCAGACTTTGGGTAAGACTCCGTGAAGTTCACTGTCATTCGTCTTCCAAGACGCCATCTTTTTTTTACACTAACAATTTTTGTTTTACTGGTCATCCCCAGAGGTCTCCGGAAGTCAGGCGGCAAAGGAAAAAAACACGATAAGGAGGCCATGAGAGCATCTTTAGACAGCAGGTTGGTGATGGCTCAACTTATTTTATATCAATTGAAAGGTGACAACCATTCCAGGTGATTATTGACTGGCTGTGGTCGCATGTTTTTTTTAACACATTTGTGGGGGTGACCCGTGGCGTCATGTTGCTGTTAGTGCGAGTGCCACATAGTGCTTTTTTCTTTTGCCTGGATTATTAATGAACACAAAGGCCTGTACACAGTAATTAACTGCAGTAATACTGCAATCTGTGGATGTAAACATTGAGCTGCACACGGTGGTCAAATCTTAATGTTGTTTTTCCCTTTTCGTCCGATGGCCGTCACTCACTGAGTCATCTGCCATGCAGCACACGATGTATTAAGGCGAATCTTCCCTTTCTCCGACGCCCAGGGGATCGGCGGAGCTACTGGAGGAGTCCGGCGGGAACCTGTCTCCTGCCGACTCAATGACCTCCATCCCCACCTGCATGCCCTTCTCCTGGTTTGGAGACAAAGAGAGGGACAGAGACCGAGAGCCCTCCTCTTCCAGCAGCAGCCTGCCGTACGCCGCGACCGAGACCAGCAGCGAGCAGAGCCAGGACCGCAGGAATAAGGTTGGTACATTCCTGTGAGCACAAGAACCTGGCGTAGAGAGGATGAGCACCCAGAGCGCGGCTGTTTAATGAGTCCAAGACACCAGCTGGATGAATTACGTAAATGACCACGAGGAGAAAAGTATTTGTTATTTATTTGCTTTGTGCATTGCGCTCGTGTGGACTTTTAATCTGACTGAACCGTGTTTCCTTCAAACAGACAAATCTCTCCTGGTCCTCTTTATTCAGTCGCTCATTAGATTTGGTACAGTATACGCACTTTTGTTTCGCCTTTTGATTTTAGATGCCACACTAGAGCATTACTAACAAATGCTGCTGCAAATTGTCATTTCTCACCCGCGCACATCCTATGAATAATTCTCCTTTTTCTTCAACTCTGTATGTGGTAGTGTTGCAGTCAAACTATTGTTAGCTCATTTTGTCCACATTCAGAGGCCTCTCAGCTTGTGGTAGAGGACGCGGGTGGAGCCGGACGTAATTTCCTGGGTTTGTTGCACCAGCTAATAGAAAGTTTTACTGAGGACTTGTGTGTGAAATGATCACTGACGGCTGCAATTTAACTAACTTCCTTTTTATTTCTTATGCTAAATTGAAATAAACTTCATATAAACTTGCACGTAGGTGGTGCAGAGGTCTGCAAGTCTGGGTAATATTTCCCTGCAAATTAACCCTCATTTATGTCTAAAAAACGTTCCCTGTTTAAGTTTTAGACAGCATAACATTTTTTCTTGAAAATCAAATGACAAATGTTGCAGCTTCCATTCAACTAAATGACCCCCCCCCCCCACACCTGCTTTGTGTGTTCCCATTGGAGGTAGTAGAGGTAGTTGCTGTAGAATAGAGGTAGTCGATGTACTTTTGGTGGTGGATTGCTCTTAATTGCCTTCAACGTTGTGCCACCGAGTGTGTTGAAGATCACTCGGCGCTCTAATCGATCACCTGGAGAGCCGCCAGCTGTTCATGTTGGTTTAATCATCCATCACCCCCACCCACCCGTGCTGTGTGTGTGTGTGTGTTTTTGCTTGCCCTGGTATACAACTGATGTTTTAGTGATGTGTTGCTTTAGTAAATGCGTTCCTTGTTTCCACTTGTTCCAGACTTTTTCAGTCATAGATGATTCTAACCCTGCCAGCCCCAGTTCAGACACCGCGGGTTTAGTCGCTGAGCCCAATCTGACTGGGCGCTCACACACTTTAATCTTCTCTTCCAGTGAGGTGAGTGCTCTCCTTGTTGCGCAGTCACAAAAGCCGCGTGGGACGCCTCGATGCTGCTGAAAGGGGACATTTCTCAAGCATGCTCTTTGAGCGCCGCCCCCCCACCCCCCTTCACAGCTGAGATTAAACCATGAATGTAGAGGGGATTGAAGAGAGCTGCATGTGTGTGTGTGTTTGTGTGTGTGTGTCTGTTTTCTTTTGGCTTTAAAAAAAAAAAAAAAAACAGACAGACTGACTTGTGGCTTAGCTTTTTCTTAGGTCGGCTGTGATGTTTTCAGACCGGAGCTTCGTGTTGTTTACGAGCTTCGGCTGACCACAGGACCATGTCGCCTGCTCTGCCGCCTGCTCAGTGGTGCTCCAGCAGCAGTTTCCTCTGACATCATCAGTTTCCAGTGTGTCAGTAAAACGTACATGCCGACACACGGGCCTGTGGATCTGGGAATGTAATTGCACGTTTGTTTTCCCGGTGCTGGCTTGAGAAACGTCTACACGACACTCTGTTTAGTTCAACAGAACTTGCACTTTGTGTTCTTGTCTCTTGTGTACATACTGCAGCTTGGCTTCATTTATTGTGGTTATTGTGGACTGTAAAGGAGAAGATGTTTGATGTTTGCATTTAGGATCAACACTGTCAAACACATAGAGAACAACATGGCAGTGAATGGCTGTTTCACATTGTTGGAAAGCACCAATTATGCATTTCTTCTTTTATTCCCCCACAAACTAGAAATAATTTATCCTTTTCCTTTGATGTACAACCTCATGACATAAAGCTCAACTAGGTGGAACCCACTCGGAAACCCTCACAAAGACGCATTTGCACAACCATCAATATGAGGGGACCCTCTTTACCTGGTTGGCAGTATGTGTACTTTTATATTGTCCTTCTGTGTCCTCTGTAGACTTTGGATGATGAACCAGCAGCTCCAGGGAAAGAGTATCAGTGGCAGAACCGGCCCGTCTCTGAGTGGACCAACCAACAGGTCTGTCACTGGTTGATGGGCATGAACATGGACCAATACACCCCCGAATTCACAGCCAAGGGTGTGGACGGCCAACAGCTCCTCAACCTGGACAGTGAAAAGCTGAAAGTAAGAGGAAAAATGTGAATCACACAAAGCCTCTTTCATTGCAGAAGAAGTCGTCGGTTAGTCCGGCGTTTTCAACCTTTAGCTGCCACCTTGTGGCCAGAATGTGGCCGTATTATTTTGGCTCTAAAGGCCGGCGCATGCTTCTGCGTCTGCGTCGACGCACTCGTTTCAACTCATGGTTCTAAAAGTCTTGCGCGTGTTGCAGAGCAATTCACCTCCAGGACAACAGGCGGAGTAACGTGTTTTTGTTAAAGACGACCTAGAGAGTCACGTCTATTTATTTATTTGTTTATTTATCATAGACTTTATTGCCCCGTGCATTGCCACTGCTGCTTTTCATCGCGGACACATTTGTCCCGTATTTTCCTCCACAACTTTGTGCACCTCTCCACCGGCAAACCGGCGTTTGCGGCGATCTCCCTCCGTGAATTCCAACCCGCTTCTACAACCCGCCAATGACGGCTTGTATAAGCGGTCATATTTACGCATTTCTTCCGACAGAAGCTCTTCAATCTGATCCATTTTCTCGTAAACATTCTTTGTTTTAATAATGGCGGTATAAAGGACGTAGTTAGCAGACCAATTGCAGCCTTGTGCGCTGCGGGAGGCGACGCAAGCCTAGAAAAATGTGTCGGCACACGCAAGGAGGTGTGAAAAGCGACGCAAGGGACACGCAAGGGGGTCTTGCGTCTGCATCGCTCTGAAAACGCAGAAGCATAAACTAGGCTTAACCCGGTGTTCTTTTTTTTGTGTGTGTTTTGTCCTCCAGGGACTTGGTGTGTCAAGTCAAAGCGACCGTTCGACGGTCAAGAAGAAGCTGAAGGACTTGCGTAAGGTTCAGGAGAAGATGGAGAAGCAGAGAGAGAAAAAAGAGAAGGAGGGGCGGCGCAGCGGGAGACCGCAAGCCAGCACGGACTCCATCTGCTGAGTCAGCAGCGCCGCTGCCTGGATTCATGCATCCAGCGAGCACCCATTTTTAATTATTTGTATTACTCTTTTGGTGCCATGAGGTGACTTTCCTGTGTAAACACCAACGACCAGAGAAACGCCTGCCAGACGTGCCGACTGATGTGCCAGTTGTGATTGACGTTCACGCAGTAGCTCCTCATTCTTCTCTCGTACTTCAGCTCAAACTATTTTAAAGGACGGATGGTGAATGTAAAAAAAGGAGAAATAGGACATGTGACCAAAATGGAATCCTAACATCTTTTTACCACTAAAAGCTCAAATCTGTAATTATAGAAGAAATGTTTTCAGAATAGATCATGCACACATTTACCAATGGAAGTCAAATGTCTACTGCTTTTCCAGCATTTTATATTTTTGCTAGTATAACTTGCCTGTTTCCGTGTACATGAACTCTTCTGCAGGAATGGTTGTTGTAAAGTTCAGATACAAGCACTATATTTGTCTTTTAAGCTTCAAAGGGTGACAAGGTTTTAAATGTATAAATGAGTTTTATACATGTGCTTATTAACTGCATATCTGTTTTTTTTTTTACTTAAATACCATTGTTCATTTTATACTGCATCCATTTTTCTACTAAGTAGAATAGCTTGGCTGTGGGATTTCACTGAATGAAAAGCAGCAGACGCAGCTCACGCAGGGACGAGGTGAATCCGCCCGGCACGCAGCTCTGCTACGTCCGCTCCTCCTCACCGCCGCTCCGTCAGGCGCCACGACGAGGACGCCTGTGGGGTCGGCATGTGAGGCCCGAGCGACACCGGGGTCAGTGCGCGGCGTCTCCCTCTTTGTGAATGGGAGAAGCATTTCTTGGTACAAGCATCAATAAACTAATTTTCACTTTAGACGGCGTGCTTGTATTGTTCTATTTTTACAGAAATCTGGGATCACACCTGAATGAAAAGATGGACAGAAGTCCATCTAGATGTTAAACACAAATACAATTGTCTTTTTTCAAATATTTATTCTCCACTGAACATGATTCATACAGGTAACTGTAACTCAGTGTCACAATGGAAATATCTACTAGCTTATTTGACAGGATGAGTTCTAAAAATCTAATCCAAATGTTTCTCACTTTGTGATACAACTTGTTGGGAAGAATAAAACTAAATATGTTGCAAACAATAAAAATAAAATATAGCCTTTAAATTTGAATAATCCACTTTCCTTAAATGTTCAAAAGGTGCAAAATGTCTGTTTACAGACTGCAAATCCGTGATTTGATCACATGTTGCTTGGAAACATCATCCAACTGATGCACCGAAACGCTGCTAACTCATCAGCAGAAGATTCCAACCCTTTAAAGAACAAGCAGCAATAGTTGATCTGCCAAGCGCAGCAGAAGAGATGAGCTGAACATGCTCTGCACACACAAACTAAAAGCTGCAGATCAACTTTCATCTCAAATAAAATCAGCTGCGGGTTTGAAGGAGCAGCTGTAAACCAGTGGAGCAAAAGACACACGCTTCGAAACCCCAACCGAGCCGATAGTTTGTTCTCTACGCATCAAAAATAATTCATTTCAACTGATTTCATCAGCTGACTTTAGTTTGTAACAGATATACTGTAATTCATATGTTGGTTGATAATGATATATTGCGTGGTACATTTATTCAAAAATACTTATACTCCCAGTCCTAAACATCAATGGCACCAGCGGGAGCGAGAAGGAAACACCATTAGGAGTGAGATGGAAAAATCTGCAGGACGGCACCCGGCTGGGTTCTAGAAACTGCGAAACGTGGTCATGTCCTTGGGCTCCTTGCTGGGGACGCACCAGTCGTCGGCCTCTTGGATCGTCTTGTAGTGTTTCCAGGCCGACTTGTTGTACACGGGGAGCCTCTCGATGGACTCTGTGGAGAGCGCCTGGCCAGAAGGTTGAGCGGAGGAAGTTCAAACACGGTGTAACTAACGCACACAGACACACACACACAATGTTCGTGCACAAGTTACCCGGATGTAGATGACAGCATCAGTTCCGTAACCCTCTAGAGAGTACAGCTTCAGGTCCCCTTGGAAGTAGCGGGCGTAGAGTCGAGAGATGGGCAGGCCGTGCCCGTAACCGGCCTGCACGCCGTTAAAACAGAGCAAGCGGTTTGAGTCATGCGTGTCCGAGTCAAACACACGCACACACACACACACACACACACAGCACTGACCAGAGGAGCGGCGCGGGCCCCGTCGCTGCTGGGCCGGGGAGCCGTGGAGTACGTGTACGTGAACAACCTGTCGATCTTGCGCAGCGGCACGCCTCCTCCCCGATCGCTTACCTGGGGAGCAACGCACGGGCGTGTTTGGTTTACACTGGTATGCTTTTGTCTTGAGGGGGGGGGGAATAACTGGGGAAGGCTTTACTTTGACGGTCAGATCTTCGGTTCCCAGAGCGACCTGCGCGTGGATGGGAGGATACTCCATGGCGTCCCCGTACAGCTCCATGGTGGCCCGCATGGCGTTCTGCAACCGGGGGGGGGGAAGCACAGAGAGCGGCGGGGACGTGAAACTGTGTAATGTGAGCCAGCTGTTGCATTAAGAGGGAAAAGGAAAAATAAATCCAACCCTACCTTGAAAAGTTCAAAGACCATGTGATATAAATGAGATGGAACGTAGACGACGGTGACGGGTTGGACTGTCAGGGACAAAGCAGACGAGCGAAAGGTTACTGAATCTGGTCAGGCGTCTCAAGCTTGTAATGTGCATACAGTGTTTTTCTGACTAGTATCTGAACACGTTACCATTAAATTCCTCCAGTATGAGCTCAGGAGAGTTCATGTAGTACCGGTCGCAGAGGTTCCGTGCATTTTCATAGGCGTCTGTGGGGAGGAGGGTTCTTTTTTTTTTTTTTCAGACAACGAATGACCACATTTGTGAGCGCTGCGTCCTTAAACGTTGGTGCTCTCACCTCGGATGACATCGCTGACACAGCAGTTTGGATCAATACTGCCGATCTGTTTGGGATGAGCCGGGTTCACCTTCACATTCACACCGAAGAGGAGCGCTGGAGCAAAAACACACAGAGGTGTAACTTCAGTGTTAATAAGTGTTTATTATAAACCAGACATTTCACCCAAATCTTAATTAACTAATCAACCGTGTGAAAAATGCAACATTTGATCAGAAACTGTGACGCGGAAATCAATTCTCTCCCATTTTTTGTCTAAACTTTTTTGTCATTTATTGTCAAAAAAAGTGACAGAAGCAAAGCAGCTATTAAAACTAATCGGCTGTCCCAAAATGTTGTTTTGTTTACATATAAGCATTTGTCACTCCAGGATGCAAAAGCGGCGTGTTTCTTCCTTCCTCAAAATTAGAGTCATAATATTTAGTTTTCTCTCATAGTCAGTTGTGTTAGTTCTGTTACTTGTCATGTTTTTGTCATGCACAAATCAGGACCTGTGTGTCCTAAAAACAACAACGATATTTACTATCATCCTCATTGTTAGAACATGCAGGTCTCGGCTGGTCGACCGTCTTTGTGCATCGAGCACTTTCACAGGTCATTTAAAGAAGCGTTTGTGTGTCGTCTGTAGAGTCGACTCACTGTGCTGGTTCAGCAGCATCCTGATGGAGATCCTGCTCATGTAGAAACGATCCAGAAAGTACTGAACGTTCTGGCTGACGACGGGGTCCGTGCCGTGGGTCTCCTTGTACTCCACCACTCCCTGGGCCATGGTGGGAATCACGTCGTTGTGCCGATTCCTGATCCTTATTACTGCCTCTGTGAAACTGAGACGGGCCGGTTGCCGCCGGGCGTCAGATCACCTTCACGCGTGAAACAGAACCTGCGCAGCGTGTTTCGTCCACTTACTCATATGTGACTTTATCATCGCCTGCGTTTTTTTCCTTGAACTCGAGAATCTCTTGAAGACTCTGCATGTACCTGCGCGTGACACATCACAATCTATCACAAAAGGCACCAAAGGTAAAGGCGAGGGAGTAATTTGGGGGGACAATTAGGAGAAGGCCCGCGTACCAGCCCTGGACCAGCCGCACCGATGGAGTCCTCAGCAGGTTGTCTGGCAGCAGGTTGATCTCTTTCATGATGTTTGCCAAGCGCACAGGTAACTCATGCCGGAGGAAGGTGAAGGAGGTTTTCTCACATGCATTTTCTGAGCCTGAGGGGTGTAAACAAAAACAGGAATAATGTGTAATTTTGCCACGGCAGTGCATGCTGTGGTGGTTCAACGGGGGCATTGAGGACTTTGGAGGATGATGCAAATGAATGAATGTGTGTGTGTGTGTGTGTGTGTGTGTGTGTGTGTGTGTGTGTACAGACTATTACCAAAATCCAGAAACTGCTTCATTGAGAGAGGAGAGGGTGAAAATTTGGAGTAATAGTCGATGTTCTTTCCCACGGACACGCTGCTCCTCAGAAACCTTAAAATCCTCATCGTGGCGGCTGCTGTGTTCGCTCGCTTGTGCTGTTCGGTTAGTTAGTTAATCACTGGCGACATCCACTGTTGCGACACGCAGTTTGCGAGCTATTCTTTGACATTGGCGTCAACGTTGACGTTGGCGGCAGCACGTAAACACGTTAGTGGAATCAAGGTCCTGTTCCTGGTAGTTTTGGTGGGATTTGTAAATCCATACTCGTCTTAAATGTTTACAACTGTTTACAGCGAAGTGTAGAATAAATGTAAACACGGAACGATGGCTATGCGAACACCAGGCGTCCATCCAGCTAACCCTACAAAGAGTCACGACGGCATCAAGAGGTGTCCGTACCTTTACGCTTTGTTAAGATGCATTTAAACATACATTAAACAAACATACATTTTTTATCAAAATATGCTTCTCCTAATGTATAAATGGAAAAATACATATATTATAAATAAAGAATATTTAAAAATTGGTGGAAAACGGATTATGATACATTTACTTAATTATTATTATTTTTTGCTAGTACATTGCATTGTGTACAGTATTTCAGAGAAATTACGTTTAGAATATAATTGACATTATATTGTATGTTAAACCATTGCATGGTTAATAATACCAAAATATTCAATTGAACTGAAAATACAGTCATGTCCATTAGTTAGTTCTTCGTTTTCTTTCACGACTCACATCTGACACTATAGTAGATATCTTGTTGTAGACTCAGTACTCTTTGGGAAAAGGGGAGTGAAATTCTCCCTCCGCTCATTTTTTCAGGCAGCGAATTTTACCGTAACAATTTGAGTGCGTTCACGACTTTAATTGGACATCAGCGCCGTCATCATACCAAGAGAGGCGGGCGTTGTGCCTCGGCAGACCTGACATGGGGCTAAATCGCCCGGCCTGTGGTCCTAACCGTCACTTCCTGTAGCCGTCTACAGAAATGCCTGTTTAATAAAGTGCGAAACAGCGGGCCACGTTTTGCGAAGGATGTTTTGTTAACTTTTTAGCCGTCGTTTTGGTCGACGTAACGTTTCCAAACCCGCTATCGTCTCTATTAACAGCCAACGCCTGGAAAGCCGTCGTAACGGAGAAACTGTTTCCTCGGTTACGTCGCTCGAAGCAGCTCGTATTTGTGACCCGCCAAAAGCCGCACACAAGTCCAGCGAGGAAGTGACCATTTTGTGAGTTATCGTTAGCTGTTTTTGATACAGCTTCGTACTGAAGTTCTCTTCCGGCAAACGAAAATGAGTGGCGGTTTCAACTTTGGGCAAGCCAGCACGGGCTTCTCTTTCGGAGCTCCGAAGCCCGCGGCCCCGGGCCCCGGCACGGGCTTCGGGATGACTGGCGCCGTACCTCCCGCCTCTGGAGGGGGCTTCGCCTTTGGCACTCCCACTCAGGCCCCCGCCGCCCCCAACCCGGCCGGATCCTTCAGCTTTGGTACCCCAGCAAAGAGCACAGCAGCCGTAGGGGGCTTCTCCTTCGGGACCCCCACCAACACGTTTGGCATGGCCGCCCCTCAAGCCGCCGCGGCGCCAGCGGCATCGGCGCCACAAGGGCTGACTTTAGGCACCGCGGCGGCTCCAGCTGCGGGGTCTGGGTTCACTCTGGGATCGGGTCTGTCAGCCCAGACTGCCGCTCCTGCGGGAGGGGGCCTGGCCTTTGGCACGCCGTCTCAAGCTCAACCCCAACTCGCGGTTCAACCCCAACCCGCGGCACCGCCGACGGCCGCGGTGACTGCGACCACCGGAGCGGGCGGCCTCTCATTCGGAGCGTTCAGCTTCGGGGCGACCAAGGTCCAGGCGACCGCCCCGGCGGCCCCCATGGCTGCGCCTACTGCTGCCCAGGGAGGGGGCTTCAGCTTCGGCACCGGTGCTCCGTCCACCCTCGGCATGGGCATGAGCATGCAGCCGCAGCCAGCACCCGCTGCCGCGGTCGCGCCAAGTCAGGGTGGAGGATTCGCCTTTGGGATCAAGCCCTCGTCCACCCCGGCGCCTCCCGTATCCACCCAGGCAGCCACAGCCCCCGGCGCGTCCCTCTTCGCTTCACCAATCCCCACCGCTGCCGCTTCCGCCGCCGCTGCGGCCGCCGCCACCGCCGCTGCCGCCACAGTTACCGCCTCTTCAACAGGTGCGGGCTTTACTTTGGGTGTAGCCCCGACTTTAGCAGCAAGCACCGCTGCCGCAACCACTGCAGCCCCCGGTGGAGGTCTGTCCTTTATGCTCAAACCCCTGGGGGCAGCGACCTCCGCCCCGGCCCCTGCCCCCACCGCCACGGTAGCAGCAACGGGGGCCGCGACGGCCTTCTCGCTGGGGCTCAAATCCTCGACCGCTTCAGGTATCGCGACAGCTTCTGCAGCCTCGACGATCTCCGCAACCGCTGCTCCTCCAGTGATGACCTACGCCCAGCTCGAGGGTCTCATTAACAAGTGGAGTCTGGAGCTGGAGGACCAGGAGAGGCATTTCTTGCAGCAGGCCACCCAGGTGAACGCGTGGGACCGCATGCTGGTGGAGAACGGGGAGAAGATCACATCCCTGCACAAGGAGATGGAGAAGGTGAAGCTGGACCAGAGGCGGCTGAACCAGGAGCTGGACTTCATCCTGTCCCAACAGAAGGAGCTGGAGGACCTGCTGTGCCCGCTGGAGGAGTCTGTGAAGGAGCAGAGTGGAACCATCTACATGCAGAACGCGGACGAGGAACGCGAAAGGACGTACAAGCTGGCGGAGAACGTGGACGCCCAGCTGAAGAGGATGTCGCAGGACCTGAAGGAGATCATCGAGCACCTGAACACGTCCAGCGGCCCGGCCGATACCAGTGACCCGGTAAGACCAGGCTCAATTCAAGTGGAACCTTTTTTGGGGGGGGGGAGTTTGCATATATTGTCTCGCATTTAAATTAACGTTTACATCTTTTTCGTTTTTCAGCTTCAGCAGATCTGTAAAATTCTCAACACCCACATGGATTCACTTCAGTGGATCGATCAGAACTCTGTTCTCCTGCAGAGAAGAGTGGAAGAAGTGTCTAAATTGTGTGACAACCAGCGCAAAGAGCAGGAGAAAACCTTTCGTCTGACATTTGACTGATCTGCAATTAATTTGTTCATGTGTATATTGACTAAAGAGGGAAGTATTTTTTAGTGGGTTTAGATATTTTAAATGCAAAAACAACAAACGTACACAATTCCTGTTATTCAGCTCAGCCGTTTGGTTGCATAAAGCCTGATCTTTCCATTGCAATAGCGTTGATATAGAGTGGTGACGCAATCGATCTGTTCCCATGTAAATGCTGCTGTGGTTCTAAATAATATGATTAAATGCATAAAATAGTTACGGCTTCACTTTTTTGGATAGCAAATAAGATTCAGACATGAATGTTTAACTGCAGAGGTAGAACTTTGTGATTTAGCTTCTCTTCTGTAAACTGATTATCTTTTTGACTGACTGAGCAAACAATTCAACGAAACTGATGATTGTACCTTTTTGTTTGAGATTATACTACTATTGGTAATGAAAGGAAATTGTAGCATTCATTGTTTAAACCTTTTTATTACACATCAAGTCATTAACATTCAATTCATCTCTAAAACTTAACATTGCATTTTCTATTCAGCGTCTTTCCCGTGGACTACACGGAACAAAAGATCTTTCTCAGTGTTCACCTAACGTACAGTGGTTGCTACCTTAATGAGGTAACGGATGTGGAAAAAGACATTTATGCACCTTGAATAATTGTTGAAATGATAATGTACCTACATGTCAACCCAATGGGACAGATCCATACTCCTGACCTAGAAGCACCTTCCTTGCATAGAAACAGTGACGCTGTACGTTAATCCTAACCGGAAAAAAAACTCTTTGGCTGCATGAAATTATTTTCTTATCAAAAAATAAATATACAGTGTGCAGAAGTATTTAAATATTTACAAAACTTACAAAAAAAATGTAATGTATTCAGTGTAAACAATTCAAAGACAACTGATTCTCCCTAAAAAGGAACATTACTGATGTTCTCCAGGTGAAGAAGAAAAAGTCCTTCCAGTTTGTGGCTTGAGACTGATGCAGGTAACCTGCTTAAAACCGCTTAAAGCAGTTTGCAAAAAATCATTACACCCGTAAGACGAGTCACGAGTAACTTTCACTGTCCATCCAATTCGTCATCCACGGCTTCTTATCAAGGAGATCAAGCTTGACTTTTCCATCCTGGTGCTCGGGGGAGTCCTTTCTGATCCGCACCGCGTGGTAACTTGGGACGCTGTCGTCTCGTTTGGAGCGTTTAAAGAATCCGCACTGAGAAAGGGAGATTACATTATTAAAATCTGATAGAAACATTCAGGTGCACTAAACAGCAAGAGGAGACAGATGCGTGTTGAGCATGCGTAGCGTTTTTTTTTTAATGGGACGCTTCAAACAGCCAAGCAGTAACAATGTCAGCGAAGGCACCTGCAGAGCGGAACAATTACCTAGAGATTAAAGAAACATACGTATGACGCCTGTTGGTAGGAAAATACAAAGATTTTTAGGGGTCAATATTCAGAGACACATATTGCATGAATAGCAGAAGCCTTGCGCACTTCATTAAGAAAATATGAATATAATTGTAAATATTTTTTGTGTGTTTAATGTAAATGTCATCGTCTTCGTCCGCTAAGTACAATATGTGTCTGATTGAATATTTCTGCACCGAGTCTGCTGGTAAAGCGAGGTCATTAGTCACAGCGGGGGGAGCGCGCGGGGCAGGGGGGGGGGTCACACTCCATGCTGACAGCTGCGTTTACCCCCGATCAGAGCAACGCTCAGGCCTCAGCAGAGAGCTTGTCTTTGTCAGAGGGCTGAACATGGATCTCTGCCTTCTGATACGCAGCATCGTATTGGTCTTGTGACGCCCTCTTGAAGAAACCGCACTGATGGGGGAGCAAGTGGTGGAGTGTTTAGAGGGACATGGTGGTTCAATAGCTAGAGGGATGTCGACCATCAATACACCAGAGAAAAAGCATTTTGTTGGCGCGGTACTTAATCGGGAGAGTCAAGGGTTGACGCTCAAATGTCATTGGACAAAAACTAAATGTTGCTTTGCTTATTTGCAGATAGACTGCAGAATATTTAAGTTACTCAATTAATTCCTTTGAGATTAAAGAAAAAATACATTTTATTTATTCAATAACTTTATTTATTAATAATAATTATAAAAATAATAATTCAAATATTCATGTATATTTATTTTGACCGTCCAAAATAAGTTATTTAACCTAATATGAGACCAAAGAAACACAAAATAATATAAGCCTGAAATATGTAACCGGCAAACAAAGGCTTCTTTAATCAGCTCTCGTGTCTCATGCAGTTCACAGGCTGCATCTTTTCTGATGTAACTTCAGCAGTTCAATGGCTGCATCTCACCTTCCAGAGCAGAAACACCAACAAAGCCAGGATCAGGATGCCTGCGAGCACGGCCACCAGTATGATCCACCAGGGAACTCCGGTGTGCTGCGCCACCGCCCCTTCAGGGGACACGGACACCGTCACCTGGAAAGAAAACAAGACACCAGGTGAGTTGCGACCAAGATTACACGTTGATAAGCTGTTAGGCAGCTGTGGAGGTGCTTACGTCCGTGTGGGGAGTTCTCAGGATCATGTTTTTAGCCTGAGTATGGAGGACGAGGGAGGCCTTCACCACGATGTGCAAGTTTGGGGTGGAGGCGTAATCCTGTGTGAAAACAAAACAAATAAGCCGAGGTAAGACGGCTGCAGCAGATCCCTGACGAGACACAATGGAAGACATTAGAGGACGACGCGTCACCTCAATAAAGGTCGAGTTCCACAGACGGGATCTCAGTTCAAGTGATGTTCCGTCCATGCCCTGTAGGGGGCACTTGAGCACCACACATCTGATCTCACCGTCACATGTCTGAGGAGGAGAGAGTCCGTTACCCATCAGAGTAAATCGACACCGTGATGAACTGCGTTGGAGGACATTTTATTATTATTTTATCTGTAAAATGTAAAGTTGGTTTGTAAAAACAATCTTTAACTAGAGCCCAACAGTCAAAACCTCAAATTTATTAGAATTTAATTGAAACATTTGAAAGGACAACCAGCTAATTTATACACAAACATGGAGCCAGATACTTTTGTTTTTAGATAATTGCCAATGCGTATTCTGTCAGTCAGCTGCACCCGTAAGCTCATAATGTTTCATATGCAAAAATCTTGCAAATAAACTACAGGCATGAACATAACTCCTAATACTGCTTGAGCAAATGTAGTTGGCTTCCTCTCACTTAATACTACATACATAGACTCACCAAAACCTTCTTCTTGTCTGACATTGACGACATTCTGCCAACAGTTATTCTTTCTCCAATTTCACGCCTTGTTCTGGACGCGGAGGCCTCCTGGAGGAATAATTCTTCCCATTAATTCAGAGTGGAACCAAGCGGACTTCAGGCCAGTGCGTATTTCACCTGGAGTGCATGGCAGTAGAGGTTTAGAAATGCTACCTGGACGTGTTTGAGGGAGCTGATTTCAGACTCGGGAGAGCAGCGGACGTCCTCGGGTCCTGCAGCGGTGATCTTCACCAGGTACAGGAGCCATTTACCGTCTTTGCTCCATTTGGGCCACTGGATGTGAAGTGAAGCTTTGACAGAAGACTTCCACAAATTGTGTATCTGAAGGAGAAATCAGCATGGCGTGAATTCAAAGACTGTGACAGCAGTGAATTTAAAAAAATCAAAGGCTGGAGGAACGAACTAACTCTGAATGTATAAGTTATCAAGCTTCCAATCTCCTCCTCTGTCTTCATGGCACTTTCCCCTTTCACGACACCCCCGAAGGAAACCTGGTTAGAACTGGCTTCTCTGGTGAGGAAAAGGCAAACGATTAGTTTACACGCCGCTGGAGTTACTGTAGTCAACCATTAGTTGAACACACTTACCCGCTGACCGACAACGGCAATTCAATGATTACTTTAGCCTTCACTTTAACGGGGACAATGTCTTCTTGCACACTTGTACTGCAAGAAAAGAAAATACACCAATGAAGTGCAATTATTTAATTGATGTTGATGTAAACTTATCTGGAAATACAGTTCAATACTTACGTTTGGAGCTGCAGGTTGATGTCGATCTCGTTGGTGTGGAGCGTCATACCCACAGTGCTCAGGATGATGTAAAATGTAGCCTGGTGCAAAAAAGAAGGGGGGGAAATCCCATCTCTCACATTTGAAATACAACAACTATGTGTGAGGATAAACATGGGAAACTGATCTGTACCTTTGAGTCTCTCTTGAAAGGATTTCCCAGCTCACATTCTGCTTGAGAGCCGTTCAGATTGGCCGTACAGATGATCGGCTTTTCCAGCTGGGAAACAACATGTTGTACAACGAAAGTGAAAGATCACACAACCAGTCAGTCAGCATGTGGAGGAGACGGTCATTTTGTTATTTCACTAGCTAATGCTTTTCAATTGTCCGTAACTACAATATTAGCTGGATTCACATCCTCATACTCATCGCTAAAGGTGGGTGAAATGTTCGAGTCCGTCTCCCTCCCTGTTTTTTTTTACCGTTCTGTCATGTGAGCGCACTCCAGAATAAGACAGCGCGTCCGGGAACGTCCCCAGCAGCTTCGCCTCGTAAGCATCATCATCATTCATGTTGCTGACCGTCACTCGCAGAGCCAAGTCCTTCCTCTCGTAACTCAGATGGAAAACTGGCACGTTGTTATTCCTGCAAGTAGACAAACGTGAGCAGTCGCCTCAGGTGGATTCTTGTAGAAGACAAAGACCTCGATGAGCAGTGGAACTCCTCTATAACCGTGATTGATAGATCAGGTTCTACTCACACGGGCAGTGGGGAGTACACGTCCAGGTTGCTTTGTTTGTAGTACAGCTTGTACTCCATCTTCAGGTTGCTCCGGCAAACATGATCCCTTCCACATCCCTCTTTCACAAAGTTCACCTGCAGCAGCAGCAACAACAAACAACAACAACAACAACAGAAGCATGTAAGACTTTTCCCCGCTGTGCACCTTTCGTCATTGACCTATAAAAATAGACGTTCACCTGAATGACGTCTTTGCTTGGTTGAGAGGAGTCTAAGATGGGCATCAGCTGCGAGAGGCCGTTCCTCGCCTTCTGTCGTTTAGTCCCGGCGATGTCTGCAGACACCTCGATGGGGACGCTGCGCATCTTGTCCTTAATGTTGTCCTGTGCGAATCAGACACCGTAGAACGGCGCATGCTGCTTATCTGTGCAGTTCTAGAGGTCTTTTTGACAAGGAAAACCTCTCTAGGTTTATACTTAATCTGCGGTGGGAGTCACAGCTGGCTCCTGATTGGCTCTCCTCAGTGCTGCCTGGGACGCTCGTCATACGCAAAGTGACATTTGTTTATTTCCTAAAGCATTAAGTCAAAAGCTCAAGCTAAAACGTGTATTTTACTGTCAAATTGGATTAAAATCAGCAAACAACTGAGAGGCTCAAATTGGATGATGTCTATTGAACTGCTTGGGACAGTTAATTGATTTTTAAATAAAATGGACTATTCATTATCCGCTGATCAAATAATTGATAAATCAGCTTTTTAATATGTTAGGTTTTAAAGAAGCTAAGGAAGTGGCTTTTTTTCACATGCTAGAAGCTTGCAACTCCAAAAACGACTCGATATTGCATATTGTTGTATATTTGCCTCACTTTTAGTTTGGCTGTTATCTTGATGCAGGACTTCTGGTTTTGGCCGCGGAGATCCAAGGTGCCGTTTAACTGGAAGTCTGTTTCCGTGCGGGATTTGTTGAGGAACATCACCCTGGAGGTCAGCCCGTGTTTCCTGCGATCTCCGTCCGCCTCGATGGAGTAGCCGATAGCTGCAGTGAAGACGGAGGTGTAAAGAATAAAGAACCTTTCTTTCCTTTTTGGAAAAGAAGATTTTATTTTCTCAGCATGTGACTCACTCAGTCTGGGGTTGTAAGATGCGGTGTTTGATTCCCAGGTGAAGCACGCGTCCACCGTGAAGCTATTGACAGGACACGGTTTGGTCTTTAACAAGGACGGAGGACAATTTGACCAGAAGGTCTGTTGAAATGCAACAATGTTCCTACCAAATGCTTTGACCGCAGGTTTTCGCTGTGAGGTCGATTTCCTTTGGAGATATTTTGACATCTCTCCTGATGCTGATGACGGGCCGTGACCTGAGGAAAGGTTTGTTAAATGAAGTTATGGCACAAATCAATAGTGTTTAAACAGACTTATAAAGGGTAACGATTACCTGTAGATCAGAGCTGTGTCCGACAGGGAGCCCACAGCCACATCTGGATACGAGTTACTGTCCAAGTCCATGTTCCCTGCCAGAGAATATCCAAAGAGTCGCGTGTTGTGCGCTTTTCCTGAAAGGATCTGTAATTAATGGGAAAAAAGACTTACGCTTATGAAACAACACAACGTTGCAGTGTTAAATTAAGTGTCAGGAGCCAAAACGCGTTAGAGGCTTAAGTACTTCTCCACTAATGACGTGTTTAATAGATCATCACAGGCAGAAGCTGTTATTGTGAGTATTCGCCCACAGGACGTTTCAGACAAATCAAAGTCTTGAACAATTGCCAAAGTTTCAGAGCCACTTTGGGCCGGCGGACACAGACAAATGATCAGCTTTCAAACCCTGGGGATGAAGTATGTGATCCTGTGTTAATAGGAACATCTTGATTACGGCCACTTGAAAGAAAGCTCCACAAAGCTGACCTGTGCAGGGCCGGTTGTGATTCCCTGTGCAGAGCCGTGGTATATGAAGACTTTCCCTGCACCGCCGTCATCATAAGGAGCTCCAATGGCGATGTCTGCGTGAGAGAGAAACCCGTTCATGTGACAAGAGACTGATGAGAGAAACACAAACAACCTACAAAATGTTACTGCAAATAACCTTCGTATGAGTCTTGATTGACGTCTCCGATGTTTTCCACTGCAAGTCCGAACATGGAGTCCTTGGTCCCATTTAGCCGAACGGGTGTGATTTTATCCCACCTGCCTGCCTGGTTGATGTAGACGTAAGCAGCTCCTCCAACGTCTCCGTCCTTCATGTAGAACTGAGGGGCTCCCACAACTATGTCTTGCCATCTGAGTCAAAGAAGGGAGGTCGTTATTTCCAAATATCATGCAGAAAATGAGATAAAAGATAAAGTCAGTACAATAAAGTCATCGTCAAGGCTAAAAACAGGAAGCTTCTCCGATAACATGAATGATCTGTTTACTAAAGCAGAATAAGAGACGGTGAAAGCCTGCGTACCCATCACCGTTCAAGTCGACCACGGTCACGTCGTAGCCGAACGAGGACGCGAGTCCCGGGCCGTGCAGCGTGTGCTCCACCAACAGCCTGGAGGAGGCTTCGCTCTCCTTCTTCAGCAGGACCACAGCTCCGCTGTGATTGGCTCTGGGCGCTCCAGCCACCACCGTCAGGCCTCGGCCCCTCGTGATGCCGTGTCCCGAGTCGAGGGAGAATCCTGAAGTGTGGGACAGCGGCGTGAATTTCTTATTTTTACACCGAAGAGAAGCGTGATTTTTAACCCCCCGGTTTCTCCCTCATTTGGAACAGTGAGGAGTTCAGAGGGCAGACGGATTAATAATGTAATCCCTGTAATATGCAGTCGCCCTGACAAACCACTTGGAGTCACTATTGTAGCATCAGTGACTGAAGAGGATGTTTTCTGCAGTGGTTGCAAAGCGGTTTCCGTCATGCCAGTGTTTACCGGCCGGAAATCTAATCAACTGGTGGCAATTCTGGGGAAACTCCTAAAAAAAGACCTTTTTTACAACAATCCAAACACAGTGAACTGCTCTAGCAGCAAAACCACAACTAATGACCTAATGACATTAATAATGGCTCCGATCCAGCAGTTACTACACTGCCACAGTTGACTTATTCCATTAGTTACCTGCTCCGAGAACCGTCTATTCAACTTTCTCCTGCCTCTGATCATCTCTCTTCAGCAGTAACATACGGTGCATCAGTGAAAGTCAAAGTGGAAACGCACCCAGGTAGCTGTTGGCGGGTACGGGCACGAGCTCCGGGCTCAAGAGATGCTCATCTCCGACTTCATACGGGCCGTCATCGTACACCCCCATCTCTATCAAAGTGTTGTTCTTTTGCTCCACTCGAACGATGCCTGCAGATCCCCGCAAAAAAAAATATTAAATGACTTATTTTAACAGAACGAGGACCTTTATTCTCTCAGTAAATGGCGACTCTGTGAATGTGTGCGTTAGTTAGTGACCTTTCCAGTTGTACGCTCCCGGTGCTCCAAACACCACGTAATGGTAGTCCTTGGTAAAGGTGGCAGCCAAACCTTGTTGGCAAGATCCGAACATCTCGTGGCCTCTGGGTCTGCCCTTGCAGAAGTTCCAGTTACCTCCGTCCTCGTCGGAGAGCGAGTCGATGGTCAGGTCCTGGCTCAGAACGTAACAGCGCCCCGTGATGTCCCGGTACTCCAGAGGCGTGTTCACAAACGAGCGCCTCTGATAGCGATGGGCACAAGTCTGAAATTGCAAAACGTACACCTGAGTTTAACTCACAGGCGATAAGAGCAGAGCTGGAATGAATGGGAACGTTGGGGCGGGTGGTCGGTTTCACTCACGACAATCTTTCCCCCGGGTCCCTGGCTCTGAACCGTCACCCCCATCCACTGATTCTCCTTGTTCTCAACGCGTACGTCCTCTTTCAAAGGTTTGGTAACACAAGCAAAGTATGTCAGCATTTATATAGTCATATATAGGCACTCAAGCGGAAACACTACCGCGTATACAGACAGACAGACAGACAACTCACCTTCACTATCGAATTCAATACGCTCACAATGGGGAGACTGAGTCATTTCACATTTATAAAGGCCTCCTGTGATGTTGGCTGTCTGTTTCCCCAAAGCTCTGGCTCTCGGTGCTCCAATCAACAGCCTGGAGAAGAAAACAATATTAAAGAAGCAAAGATGTATTGATAGCTACTGAGTTTTTCTGACGTAGATTTCTGCTACACCTTCAGTGAGTCATTCTCTGCTTTCTTTTGTTTGTTCTAAAACCAACTACGACAGTATGACGGTTCCAACATTTATTCTGGCTTTTGACATGAAAAGCTCCTTAACTCCTTAATTCTGAATCGTCAGCTATGCGGAAAAACTGTCAAGAAAATGTATATCAAACAGACAATTGACAATACAGGCTGTTTCAGATTGAGAACGTTGCCATGCTGCAAAGGTCTCTATAATTATCAGTATCAGTGGGAGTGATGAACAGAAGGGCCTGATGGTTCAAGCCGTGTCACATCCCCTCCTCCTATCGTTCTCGCTCTCTGTTTCCTGTCTGTCAATGTCAAAATGAGACAAAATGACAAAAGAAATATATAGAAAATAGATCACAAGTGAAAGTTTAACTTGCCACATGTTGCCCACATTGGTTAATTTCCAGTTAGTTTACAGTGTTTAATATATATACAAACTGCTCACACATTAATTATGTCTGTAGCATGAATTTGGGAGACTTTTCCACACCAGTGTCTCTAAATGTCATCAACTGGCTCGTCATGGCGGCGCTAACCGGCTCCGGTATAATGTTTACCATATTTACCGTTTTATATTAGCGTTATATTAATTAAGACCCCTGAAATGTTTTGAGTTCATCCTACTTACAGAGTAATGGACAGGGAAAATCCCAAAACAAGTCATTTCAATTTTTTTACCACTTAGTTCAGAGTTTTGTAGTTGCACCTTTTTGACTTCCTGGACAACTTGTTGTTTATCTCGTCAGCAGCCTTTTCATGTACTGCAGATACACAGTTCCCATGAAAATTGAGACATGTTCGCCACTCGCTTTTCTTTGTAACTACTTAAACAAGTGGGTTCTGGACAGCGAGAACCCACGTAATTAATTATCATGCATATCAATTGAAAAAATCGTACCTATATAACTAAACTTTAACAAACCATTCGGAAATGTGACCCGAATGACTTGAAATCTCAATGTTCTGCCATTATCAAACCATAAGGACTCGTTACCTCAAATCAATTTTTCACCCAGAACCAAAATATAGTTTTCATTCTTTGTTTGAAGCTTCCTTTAATGTGAAGCTGAAGATATTGCAAATAGTCACAGTGAGCAGCTAACTAGCACATGTGAGCCGACCAGCCTGCTTACTTTGTGCTTAGTAGGTATTTTCTCAATAGACTGAGAGCAAATCCTCTCCACCCTTTTCTCCCCCCTTTGACTCCACCCTTTGACTTCTTCCCCCAGTAACGTATCGATCCTTAGGACGCTAGCGTGGCCGTCCATCTGTTACACGAGGCCCCCCTGACTGACGACCAAATCCTGTCCTCAATCACAACCCAGTGTCATGTAAATGTAAACAACAGTCTTTACAAAGTTTAACACTTTGGCTTCTGAGCTGCACTAGTTGAGCCCCGAAGCAACTCGGGGAAACATTTGACATTTGATTGGGTTGCATTGCATTTAAAGTAACAATCGATTAGTTAGATTAGTGAAATTAAATCGCAATTATTTTGATAGATTATCATTTTCTTTATAAGCAACAGCTTCTCAAATGTCCAAATGAAATGCTTTTCTTTGTCATATATGGTAGTAAACTTAATGTGTTTTGTCGAACACAATTAGCTGGAGAAATAAGTTGCCTGAAAGTTAAGAGAACTTCGGAGAGAAAGATTTTACTATTTTATGACAAAACCTCAAAAAATGATTAATCAAGATAATCAGAAATCAATTGTTAGTTCTCAGTTGTTTAATCGATCGTTTTGGCCTCATTCAACTCATTCAAGATTTCCTTATCAAGTAATTTCTTCTTCTTTTGATGCTGAGATGTGCGCACATCTTTTACCAGTTTTACAGATCTGTTGATGAAAGTCAATAATCGTGAGTCGACTAAATGGATCTTGTGAATTTCACAGGTGTTTTGTGCAGGAAAACAGCAGATTTGTGAAGAGACAGTAACACAGGTGAAAAAAACTCAACAGAACAGCTTCTCTGAAAAGTGACAGTTTGCAGAATTTAGCAAGTAGCTGAGGGGCAACATTGACACTTACGTGCAACACGCCCGATAGCAGAAGTCTTTCACTTTGAATAAAAAGACAAAATGTCAAAACTTTTTGAAGCAGAAATTTGTGATGTTTATTTGTGACGCCAATATGAGGATGAGTTAGAAACTCGGTCTAAAACATCACACTGTCCTGACGGCGGTGGGATGTAATTCTTTACAGCCCCGGTGCAGCGTGAGGCCGCGTCCCATCATGCAGCGTGTCTTCCAGTGCAGTGTAGATACTGGTGTGGGTTTACCGAGTGGTCCCACTGGTGTTTGTTAACAGATGTGCTGCCGTGCTCTCACAGCTGTGCACTCCAAGGCACAAGGACCGCCGCAGCTGTTTCAGTCTCACACACACACACTGTGATTGCTGCTGATCTTTGATTGGCTGGGACCAGATCACAGAAGCAACATGAATATTCACTACGCATGCAGACTAACTTTAAGTGAAGAATCAAGTTTAAAACAAAAGACATTTCAATGTGTTTTGAAGTGGAATGTCTCGACTGATGATTCGCTGATGCTTTTGATCTATCGGGTTACATATGCACAGATGGCGTGCACGCATGTCCTGCCAAATGTCTTTTTCCTCCAGAGGATTTTATATCCACATGATTAACCCAACGCATTATTTATGGAGGAGGCATTCAGTTGCTCTTTTGCACATCGTTCATATCTCATGTTGTAGAAATGCGTCTCCTTCTTTCTTAAACCCAATCACGAACCAATAATAACGCCATGAACACCATGAAAAGCAGGGTTTTGTTTTCAAGGAACCCATTAGAGGAACAACATGGAGCGGGTGTTAATGTGTTAATACACACAGTTGAGTTTTACAGCCGCTCGTCATCAACAGAAATATCTTTGATTGAGAAGAAACGGGAAGAAGCAGACGTGTGTGTGACGCATCGCTGGCTTCAGTGTGCCTCACAAGTAAGTCGGGCCTCTCATTCCTTCCTCCCGTGTGCTCTGCTGAGCTTTCCCTCGACTCGGCCGCTCGAAAGGATCACGCGGGGTTTTGGAGCTGAGTGGGGAGAGCCGCTTTCAGCCATAATGTGCAGCGTTTTTATACAGTAACTCAATGTGTTTTTAACCAGGATGTGAAAGCAAAAGACAGTTAGGAGAATTATAACTAGCCACTACTAGTAGCTCGACTAGTATTTACATCTTTGTTGACCTTCTTTGGGTTGGTTGAAGCTGTTGTTGCCTATAAATTGTACAGATTGATCATGTAGGAAAGGATTAGTAGTTAAGTTGTATGTTTGGAAGTCCGTCCAAGTAAGCGAGGTGAATCTTCACTCTCCTCTTACTTTCGTGGCTGAAAAGCAAATATCAGGCCAGTGTCACTTTTCACGCTTTTCTTTGTCCAACAAATATGACTTTCTTTTAACACATGTCGCCCCCGACGAATGTTAAAGGGCCTGTTTTCAGGAAGCAGGCCTTGCCTGGAAGAATCCTTTTTAAACAAAAAATAAAGAAATGACAGCTTCGGGCCATTTTGACAACCACACCTCCTCACACCACGAGCCGGCCGTGCGTAAAGGTCAAAACACTTGTTAGATAAAATTCCACAAGTTAAGCCAAACCAATGAGATATCTCCCCACGTCCTGTTATCAGGGCTCCTGATCCGAGCTCTCTGCTTCTCAACATGCTGCTGCAGGTCCCGGCGCCTGCTGCATGCAGCCCGATGCTGGTCACCCCCCCCCCCCCCCTCTCTCCTCACGCCAGACCCCCGATACCCCTGTGTGGGAGGATGATCAGGCCTACTGCAAGTGTTTCGTGCCCCCTCGGGCAGCCGAGGGAGCTATTCGCTGTATTGCACACAGGAAGGCGTAATCTGAAATCCTGTGAAGGCTTGCACCCAATTTATTGGGTTTGTGCACGGATGAAACGTGCGACAGTTGAGGACGATGTGCGTCACTCGATCGGTTGGCTTGCCCTTAACGCTGCCTGAAGTTGTCCATTCTCAGTACTTTTCTTCAAAGAAACTTGCTGGGTCCTCACTGTTTTACAGAGAACCCCAGCAAGCACCACTCAGACAGTAAAGAAAATTCAAATGTAACACGCCTATCTAAATGTAACACGCCTATCTAAATGTAACACGCCTATCTAAATGTAACACGCCTATCTAAATGTAACACGCCTATCTAAATGTAACATGTCTATCTAAATGTAACATGTCTATCTTGGGCTGAAACAAACCATTTGATTATTTCCTCTTATTTTTACGAGTGGACATTGTGTCAGGAACTTAACTGAAAGCTCGTTTTACAAACAGTCAAAAAAGATGTTCCATTTACGATCTTATCAAAATGAGTTGAAACAGGAAATCTCACCCCTCGTCTTTACACTAAAACGATCAATCGATTATCCAAACAGAACAACAACTGATTAATCGACCAACAGTTGCAGCTCTCCTCTCAGTTTGACCTTACAGGCACATTTGCATCTCAGTTGCAACCATTGTTTATCCACCTGTTGTGTGCAGCCTCTTTAACATCTTATATCCAGAGCCCCATGGGGAGACTGCTATTGAGAATAGGAACAAAAAAAGCGAGAGGAAACACTGCGGGTGCTGGTGGAGAATGACTGCAGTCATTTGTACAGGTCGCATCACAAGCAGAGGATGGAAATCAGTTAGTTTTAAAAAGTCAGAATCCCTCATATACAATATGACACATACACAGGATATTCTTATTCAGACTAGGAAATTAGGATAAGGATCTCGCAGTTGAAGTTAAGACTTCTGTCAGTAATCTACGGGAATCTCCCGCGTCAGGTGCACGTTTTACCCGCAGAGGGAAGCCAACGGAGACAACAGTAAAGGCGCAAAGGGAAAGACACCACTCACATTCTCTTATCCGGGTTGAGTTGCCGGTGCATGGCGAGGGAGAACCCGAACAGACTCCCCGGCTCTCCGTCCTTCCTGATGACATGACCGGTGTCCAGGTTGAACGCGAGCACCAAAGTCGGCTCCAGAAAAAGAGAATAGAATAAAAGTGCAACGCACACGGCGGCGGGTCTTCCCGGCTGCGGCAGCGGCATTTTGGCGCTGTCCAGGTGAGCGCAGTAGTCCCAAAGGTCTCGAGCCGCTGACCCCGCTGCTCCTCTGCGCGCTGCCCGGTGCCTTCTGGCCGGGAGACGGCCGCTGGTCGAGCTGCGCGCTGCGGCTCCACAGCGCCCCCTGCGGCCACCGGCAGCCACTGCTGCTGAGGGGAGTAACGTTTTTATAATATGTGTTTGTTTGCATTTTGACAAAATGACTACATCAAAATCTGATTTTAACTGGATGTTTATAGTATACGTTTATCGTATAACCATTTCAAAAACATGTTTTCTCATTTCCGCTCTAAAGAGTTAAACAAAATAGATTATAACCAAACTTTGTATTTTTACATAATAAAGTAGCTTCTATAATTTCTATATTCATACGGGCAATGATCTGTCAAACATTATTGACTTGTTATATAAAAGAAGACAAATAACAGCCAAGGTCACACTAACTCAAGTTGTTTTGCTATATTTGGTTAAACTGCTGAAACTGTTTCACCAATTAACCTCCCAGATTCAGCCAGACAAGCTGTAGAAGGTCACCGAAAGGCTGAACTATCTTTGGAGAGGTCAGAATTTCAGTGCATGTCATGATTTATAGGAAAAACCCTTATTCAACATGGCCTCTGATTTGGGGGTTGATCATCCATTCATGAATGAATAAAATATTAACGTAAACCCTCACAACACCTGCTAACCGGACCCTGTGAATAAATAAGTAATAACTATACTAAAAGGCTTCATAGTTTTGTGTTTATGAAACATGTGAGAGATGTCAAAAGCATTATTTGATGGGCTTTCCCAAAGTGCTCCTTAAAGATCATCTCCATTGTTACTAAAAATATGGCATTTACAAGCTTTGAGGTTTCCATCCACCAGCTGCAGCTATGAGCATAAAACAGCTTCATTGTTTCGCCCACTCATTTTTCTGCATGTGTGAAGTTTGAATCTGTCTGGCCTACAAACCCTCAGCAGAACACAACACAATGCAGGCATTGTTGAAGTTAAGAAGTATGTGCGTGTGTGTGTTTGTGTGTGTTTTGGCAGGCAGACAGTGGGGTGATGGTCTCGACCACATTCCTAATTGCAGCAAATGACTTGGGAGCTTCTGGTGTGAGATATGTGAATGGCATCTCTGTAGCTGTGGGTTTGGTGACAGATGCGTTAGATGCATCATCGCGAGCCTCTTCACGGATGTAAGCTCTCCGTTGACCCTTTTTCCCCCGGCTGAGGAAAGTTAATTCCTCATTGATAGAGAATCGTCCCCACATTCACACAACCAGGCTTCCCCGTCTCTGTCGGGTATCAGAGTCTTAACTTTAAGCACAGTTGTTACTGTCAATGTGTGTATTGGTATAGTGGTATTATTATTATTTATTTCATGGGTTCCTTCGGCTCTTGTTTTTTATACTAAAGCGACACTTTTCAATTGACGGTTCACTGTTGAAATGATATTCCTCACTGTAATTATACATCAAATAGGCTGCGATTAACACTGGTTTGCATGTGGTTGATAGCGCCAAATAAATCATTGGTAAAGAACAACAAAATGTGTTTTTGAACTTGCTTGCTCAGTGCGGTCTGTGTGTGTCCCTGTGAGCTAAAAGGTGTGTTGCTGCCTTTTCCTGGTTTCACCCAACCACACAATCAGCACTTTCATGTCCCCTTTGGCCCTGGGTGGTAACACGAGCTGCAGGAGAAGGTAAAGCTGCCGGGTCTCGTATTGTCTCGGGTCAGTGGGAATAGAGACACCGGAGATTCGCTGCAGGTTCAACAGGTGGAGTTCTGCAGGTGACGAGGCCTTTCTTCACAGATTAGCGGCACTTTTAGGTGCAGAATGAGCGCTGACTTTGTAGGTAATGGATTTGATTCCTTCTCTAGTGACACCTACATATTCCATTTTGGCTTTGTCATATTCTTGGAGAATGTTTTTATTCAAACGTTTTAATGTCACATTTCTGTAATTTTCCTGTTCATTCTAAACTACGTTTTCCACAATATCACCGTGTTGAAAATGTATCTTTCTATGGAAATAATTGTATTTGCAGAAAGGCTTGTAATACATAAGCATGCAGTCATCAGCCTCAGCCTGCAGAGGGTTGTTTCTGAACATTATGTAGCTGGACAATTTAATTTGCTAACATAGGTTTTTATCCAACTTTGTTGAGATGAGAAATGGTTCATCAATACTAAAGGTTGGATGACAAAACCTTGTCCTAATGCTAGAATTGTAAGTTAGATTTTCTGAGACTCAAAGTCTGTTCAACTCACAGAATTTTACAGTAATGCATTCAACATTAAGGACTCCAAACCCAACAGTTATCAGAGGGGCGAGGAAACATTCCCAAGATGCACAGTTGTCACAGGCATAAAACCATGGCGATGACTACGATGCAATGCAAACAGATGGGTGTTGCTACTTCGAACGCAGGATATCTGTCACGCTTTCATTTAGGCACAGTCTATTATAATAGATGATGACATTTATAAAGCACAAAGAGGCATGTCAAATTGATAACGTATCATGCTGATTTAGCAACCCTGTGAGGATTTAACATGTGTGCTGCAATCTGGGCGGCTCACACAGAGCTAACGGTTGGGTTTCACTGAGTTGCCCCCTTCATGCTGAAATGATTATGTTTTAAGGCCTGTGAAACTCAAACCCTGGTAAAACAGAAGGGCCAACTCCTTCTATTTCACAGTAATGAAGCCCACATAGCGGAGACTGGTGGAGGAAACCAAACCCACAAGTTGTAGGAGAGACAGAGACAAGGCAGCATGCCCAAAATGCACAGTTGGCCTAGGCATTTTTTGGCGGAGGCTTATGTGCCAAGAAAACCTTCTAATGGACGCAATGCAAAGTTAAAACAGATGGCTGTTGTTGCTAAATTACTTATAATAGTCAATGTCCAACATGACCATAATGAGCATGTCAAATTGATTAAATGTCACACTGAAACGTCTTTGGTTAGAGTACTGTTCATCTGACTACGCGAAAATCTGTGGTGACACAGTGTGAGGAATGAAGAAATTAGACCTACGGGGATGTCAAGACTGACAATAACACAAGAAGCAAAAGTCCTGCAGCTGCATGGATGCTGATTGGCTGCTGAAGTTGTGTCTGCATCAGTAGTTGTGTGAAGCGCAGCGTTAAATCGCACTGTGTGAGAGAGGGAGCAGCTGATCCGGGCCCTGTTGTGACAGAGTCCTGCTCCTTTGTAGGGAGCCCATCCGCAGTAAATCTGCTCCACTCCCCGAACACAAAGGACTGCTTCCTTTTATGGGTCCTGGGTGGGGGGTGTACCACCGAATCAACAATGAAGGGAGCGGGACCCCGCAGACCTCTCTGAATTCTTTCTCAGGCGGGACGTGCAGATGACAAAGGGAATTCTGGGGATTCCTTTGTTATTGCTGCAAAGTGCAAACCAATTTCTGCATTGATGCAAAGGAATCGCATAGGGTGTGTTATCATCATGTCATGACAATCGTACGGCCGGCAGGAAATTTATCTGAGCTGGAATCAGTTGTTTTATGAAAAAATATCTAAGAAGCGTGTTTTCACATCAGGCCTCAAGCTGTTTGGAAGTTTTTCAGCATGTTTGAATCTGCTTGGGCAGAAAGCAATCAGTCCAACAAAAAATAAAAATACTCCGGAAATGTATCAATTTTGTTCTGCCCTTTTCTTTTAACCTTGTTATTGGCTCAAAACTGAACGCTTCCTTCCAATTGTTATCCTCCGCCTGTGCTTGTCATGGAAGCCTTTGTTTTTTAAAAATAACTTCTCCTCAGAGGAAAAGCCACCGTGACTAATTCTTAGGAAACACATGCTCAAGTCTGCATGTCTGCAGCCGTGCACCACGGGGTCAACCTTTCATACGGAGAGGTCAAGAAACACTTGGTAAATCATTTCCATGTTCGCAAGGAGCACATGAGCTGGATTTGTTCACCTCATGTTGTGCAGACTATATGTGACTACAACTATGTAAGCTGAAGGTAGAAGAAATGTGGGGAACAATGCGGTAAAAAAAACTACTGTTTCTGGTTTGTTTTTGGCAGCTTTTCATGGAGGTGTTTAAATGTTTAAGCCAAAGCTGAACAACTTGCATTATAATTCAATCTCACTAAAAGGGTGAGTTGCCGAGGTGATGTGTGCTCCAGTAGACCCAGCAGGAGGTCAGCGAACCCACCAACACCACCAACAGGGAAATCTCTGCTGAGCGATAAACTATTACAGCCGCTGTTGATCCCGAGTGCAGTATAATGAAAAGCACCTGACATCCATTTACCAAACTCAGCTTTAAAAATACATATTGATGTATTATTATGTGTGTAATTTTATCTTTGGAGTGAAACCACTTAATTTGTGCTGTATGTAAAGTGTGAGTAAAGATATGTTTAATCGGCAGACATATTTTCAGGTTTTTATTTTACACATCGGACTTTGCCATTATTATTGTCAACACAGAGCTTTTAGTGGTGGAGCGCGATGTTGATTTACGCTACTGCTCCATTGACTTCTGCGTCCTGTTGCTACTTCTGAAACGTCGCCTCACAGTGAGAGTGCCAGTGGCGTCTCACTGGAAGGATCTCAGCTTTTGTTTGCCTTTTCAGCTTCTGCAACAAACAAAAAAAGAGAAAGGAGATAAAAGATGTTCAAGATCAATAACTCCCCAGAGTCTGGGTTGTTATCTTTAACAATCACTTCCCATTTTGTGCACTTTGATTCCTCAAGACAAAATATCAATATCAGCCAATGTTTCCTTTTCACGATCACACGTTTTCCTCTTGAAAGAGGCTGTAATTCCACGGTGATTGAAGCGGGTTACATTTTATCCATATTGCTCACATACTGTAATTTGTCCCTTATTTGAAACTTTTAATTCAGTGAGTTGGGGCCTCTGTTTGTACTCATACTCACAATAGATGTGGTCTTTAATAAAGTGAGGCAGTTTGCCACCCTTTTTTTGATAGCTAAGATACGTTCAATAATTGATCATTATTTCAATGGCTAAATTATTAATAGCAGAGCAGAAGACTCCTGTTATGGACAGTATCTGTTTGTCCTTCTTTACACCCATGAACAAAG